TATAATAAAAGAAACAAAAAGCAACTGGTATAGAACCTCGTGATTTCTTCTTGAAATGTTTTTTCCTTTCAAAATTTCCATTTCAAAACAAACAAATCGTAATATTTACTTTCGAAAAGAAAAGAAAAAGAAAATTTCTTTTTTCCGACAAAAAAAGACATTCATTTTTGTTGATGAAAGGGAAAATTTGAACGAAAAATCGGCTTTTTTTCTGAGGGAAAAGGGATTTTTCGGGAAAATGGATGATAGATGAGATGAGAAACCCCCAATTCGCATTCGGATAAAAGGGAAAATACGAATAAAATACGAAAAAAGGATGGCATTTACAATTTTAATCTAAAATCTATGGTTTTCTAGGGTTTTTACGAGATTGAGAAGTTAATTTATCGAAAAAGAAATTGAATTGAAAAGAAAAGAAAGAAAAAAGAAAGAAAAAAGAAAGAAAAGAAAGAAAAGAAAGAAAAAAAGAAAGAAATTCATCTTGAATCGGTTTTTTTATCGTTTTAAGAAAAGTTTTGAGCTAATTAAATGAAACTTTTACTTAGTTTTAAAGAACATATGCTAAATTCTAAAGTACATACCGTAAATACTGTAATAGTACCCCAGCCCCCATGATGACGGTGCGGAGTGTTGCGTAGTCTAGCTTTGAACGAGTTTTTCTCGACACTGGTTTATGCTATAATGTTCGTTTTGGTATCAAAAAATAGCCCTGAATTTCAGCTATTTTTTGATACCAAAGACACATTTTTTGAGAGTACGGGTGCTTTGAAAAAAATGAAATACTAAAAAACTTTTGCGACTACGCGACTACGCGACTGTACGAGGGGAGTGGGGTACTGTAATAACAGTATTTACGATAGCCTAATCTAATGCCTCTTGCTCGTATTTTGGCTGAATTAGGCCCTCTGAGGTGCTGGTCAATCGCCGGCCATCTGGAGGGGAAACCGGTTGAAAATCGGTTTGAAAACTTGGATTTAAAACCTCGAAAAACCTACAATCATCTCTGTTTCTTAAAGCTTAAACCCTTCTCTAAAAGAAGAATATTATATACTAATAGTTTCGATATACCGTAAATACTGTAATAGTACCCCAGCCCCCATGATGACGGTGCGGAGTGTTGCGTAGTCTAGCTTTGAACGAGTTTTTCTCGACACTGGTTTATGCTACAATGTTCGTTTTGGTATCAAAAAATAGCCGAAATTCAGGGCTATCTTTTGATACCAAAGACGCATTTTTTGAAAGTACGGACGCTTTAAAAAAAATGAGATACTAAAAAAACTTTTGCGACGACGCGACTGTACGAGGGCGGTGGGGTACTATTACAGTATTTACGGTAATAATTACTCGTACTCACTCTGGAGGGCTAAGTGGAAGGTGTAGCTCGGTCAAGAGGTTTTATATAGACTTACGGTAAGTTTTATATAGACTTTGAAAGTTGTGAGGCGCGCTTTCGCTCGCACGCTGCGAAAAAAAAGTTAGGATTTACAATTTTAATGCAAAATCTATGATTTTCTAGGGTTTTTACGAGATTGAGAAGTTAATTTATTGAAAAAGAAATTGAATTGAAAAGAAAAGAAAGAAAAAAAGAAAGAAATTCATCTTGAATCGGTTTTTTATCGTTTTAAGAAAAGTTTTGAGCTAATTAAATGAAACTTTTACTTCGTTTTAAAGAAAATAAGAGAGATAAATTTTAACTAGGTCTCCTAAAGCAGTTTTAAATATTTAGTCGATTGGAGTAACCACAATTTTTATATAGGCTCTGTACGTTGAGAGTCGCGCCGCTTTCGCTGGCATCCAATGGTTTTTGAGGTTTTAAAAAAAAAGTTTGGATCAAATTAAATGAAACTTTTACTATTAGGTTGATGCATAAGTGTTTTTGTTCCTTTTCGTCTGCCGTTTCAAGCCAACAAATGCACCAATTAAACTACGGTTGATTTCATTAGAAAAAGCAATTATTTTTCTGCAAAATAACATTAAAACGGGTTTAAAAATATTTAATGCCTGGATTTTCTTGAGAGTATGAAGTCGGGTAGTCAAAAAGGGCTAACTCGATGATGCGGTTTAGACACCTTAGCTAAAGAAAACCTATCTTCGTGTCAATAGATAAAAGATAGAGAAAAAAAAGTTTGGCTAGTACGGGCTAGTACGTAAGGCTAGTACGTTCCGCGTGTTTTTGCGTGGCGCGAAGAACGCGAAGCACTCGTGAGAGAAGCGAAGAACGCGAAACGTTGAAACAGCTAACGACTAAACAAACCAACCAATCATAGGCAGAGTCTCAACAGATCGCAGCTATACTGCTCTACTGAGTACAACACCTTGACCAGCGATCAAGTCGTATGCAAGTGATCTTGCGCCCTCGAGAAACCGAAGTGATCCGGCTTTGGCAACTCGCTAGGATTCACCCAACGAGTCGGGTAGTCAAAAAGTCAAAATGAAGTCGGGTAGTCAAAAAGGGCTAACTCGATGATGCGGTTTAGACACCTTAGCTAAAGAAAACCTATCTTCGTGTCAATAGATAAAAGATAGAGAAAAAAAACGTTTGATATTTCGCCAAAATTTCAGAGAAATTCATTCAGCCAATTTTTCCGTAGAGTTTTTTATAGATTTTTAACGAAAAAGGCGTTTTTCACTCTCGAATTTGCTTGAAAGTGAACCGAAATTCATTTAAAAAGATGCAAATTGAAGAAAAAAAAACGCTTTTTTTTATAGAGCAAACTATAGATTAATCGGTGAATTTATTACTTTTTAACAGAAGTACGAAAAAAACGAAAAGACTTATGCATCAACCTATTAGTTTTAAAGAAAATATGCTAAATTCTAAAAATATTAACAACTAAACGCTTCAAAAAGAAGAATAATTTCGTTTACTATTTCCTAAGTAACTTCTAGATTTGTTTTTTGTGGATGGATTTCAGAATCCAGCTGGTTTTAACCCTTTTTTTTTTTAATGATTCTTCAAAATTGAACCGATTTATTTACATGATCAGCTTTTCATTGACACTTTTCTTTAAAAAAAAAAAAATCAAATTCCGAATGATTTGTGGCAAGAATGGTGACTTAAATCCCGAAAACCATTGCATACCAGCGAAAGTGTGACTCTTAACTTGACTCTTTGTGCCATTCTTAGGAATTTCGAGAATACGGTACTTGGCCAGCTGGCCGACCGGTTAAGGAGTTTTGTCTCTTGAGCAGAAGGTCGAGGGTTCAATCACGCTGGCAAGCTAAGGCAAGATAAGGCAAGATAAGGCAAGATCACAAGATCACTCTTGGAAGGGTTTTTTTTACCGTATTCTCTCTAATATTGGGTTGGGGAGAATGAGTCGGCGCCGAAAATCAAAAAAATGTCTAAAACTTCTATTCGACTTCGTCAAATAATATGCGTTTGATATGAGTAGAATGGTTAACTAATTCTCTACAAAATCACATTTAAAAGAAAATTCAAACAGCGCCTCCGCTCAACAAAGGATCATTAGAAGCGTTTGTAGTTTGAAGTGTCTAGCGCTAGCTTTGTCTGACTCAGATTTTAGTCTTACAGATCTTGCCCTGATATATCTTTCATGTCCTAGAAACCGCTTAAACCTTTCTACTTTAAAAACACTTGCCTATCGCTGCTTCAGCCTATCGCTGTTGAACTGGGTCGAATGATAAGCTTGTCTGTGATCTCTACTTTTAAACTTTGCATTGATAATGAGTAAAAAAACTAAAATATTGGGTTGGGGAGAATGAGTCGGCGCCGAAAATCAAAAAAATGTCTAAAACTTCTATTCGACTTCGTCAAATAATATGCGTTTGATATGAGTAGAATGGTTAACTAATTCTCTACAAAATGACATTTAAAAGAAAATTCAAACAGCGCCTCCGCTCAAGAAAAAGCCATTTTTTCACAAAAACTACAAACTGCGATCTAGAAAAAACCATTGGTGGGATCTTCCTGCAAATTTGGCAACTTAAGTAATTGAATGTGCTCTATCTTTTTATATAAACACCAAAGAAGGTTTATGTGAAAGAAACTGTTCAAATGGATGAGTCGGACTCTTTGCCATTTTAACCAGCTGCGTTTGGAAGTTCATAAACTCGACGAAAGAAAAGCTTTGTGCAATCTCTCAAAAGTAATTTTGTAGAGAAATAGTGGATCCTTTTGATGAAACCAAACGTATGTTTAAAGAAGGCTTTATGTGTGCAAAAAGTCCCTTTAAAGTTTGGCGCCGACTCATTCTCCCCAACCCAATAGTAGTACACCCAGTCGAGTTGACGACGATTTTCCAGTTTCTAAGTTTTCGGAGAAGCTCAACACTTTAAAAACCAGCTAGATCTCATCGTCAGCTACAGTTTTCGACCCCACATCGACAGTTTCTGATAAGCGCTTTTCGAGATTTCGAGGAATTTAGACGAAGCTTAACTACTATTAGAGAGAACTACTTAACTACTTAACTAACTAGAGAGAACTACTATACAGTAATCGGCTTACAAATCTTATAGCCGGTCTTCTGACAGCTCTGGCTTACGATTTATAAACAATTAAAACGTCCTGCGTTGAGTATTCAATGTTAGCTATGATTTAAAAAACCAGAATTTGTAAAAGAAAGAAGTTAACATGTAAAATTAGCTTTCAGAATCAAAATTGCCGTCCTGATTCCTTTATCGATAATAGAAAAACTGGAAAATAGTCGTCAACTCGACTGGGTGTACTACTATTAGAGAGAATGCTGTAAAAATCCTTCCAAGAGTCTAGCTCAACCAAAAACCAAAACAATCTCTCTGCTTTTTTTCAGAGATAAATTTTGACTCCCATTTTTAGTTCTCAATCAACTGAACACTCAATCTCATCATTACATCGAATCATTCCCATTTCACTCCAATCAACCAATCCCCAAACGCGGCCCCGGCCAAATGAGGCCGCGTAAAGGGAGAAGAAGAGAAAAAAATTATTGTGATAACGTTTCTCTTCAAAAAATTCGATCAACGAGAGAGTCAAAGGATTCGAAAAAGAATCGAAAAGAATGGTTGACAATGATTTGAAAGAAATCGAGGGATTGATTGATGAAGAAGAAGAAGAACCGATCGATGAGTCGTGGCCGGCTAGACTTCAAAAGGTCAGTGCAAATGCTGTGATTGTAATTGCTAAAGCAGCCAGTTGGGCTATGGTAGTTTGAAATCCTACATTTCGTCTCTATTTTCATTTTCTAAGGCCCTTTTTCGTCTCCTTTTCTCGACATTTTGTACGGGTACGGTAGGCTACTTTTCAGTGGGTACGGTAGGCTAGTTTCCAGTGGGTACGGTAACGTTTTACGGTATCCGACATGATGCCTCTTCTTCTCCACTCGTTTCTATTATTGACTTGATTTATGGACTCGATTGTACCACCCAAATAGTAGCACTGATATCTGAATAATTTGATTTAATCGGAATTTTCTAGACTTTCAAATTAGTGAGCTAAAATTTACTCATTAACTCATTGAGACTAAGATCGTGACCATGACGACATCCTTTTCTAGAAAAGTTGCTACCAAACGCCTATCTACTTTTCACAGTTTCAAGTATTATATAGAAAAACAAAGCCCTTTATCTTAGCTTCATTTTTCTATATAAAACTCCTCGATTAGAATTGTAGAACTCATTTTACAAGCTCTGGAATGAGCTCGGCCTTTCCGGCGACCTGCTATCGGAAAAGTTGCTACCAAACGCCTATCTACTTTTCACAGTTTCAAGTATTATATAGAAAAACAAGGCCCTTTATCTTAGCTTCATTTTTCTATATAAAACTCCTCGATTAGAATTGTAGAACTCATTTTACAAGCTCTGGAATGAGCTCGGCCTTTCCGACCATCTGCTATTCTTGACACATCAGTTCTACAATCGAGAAGTTTTTTATAGAAAAATGACGCCAAGATTAAGGGCTTTATTTTTCTATATAATACTTGGCACTTTCGTAAAAAGCCAGGCATTTACCAGCAACTTTTCTAAGAAAAGGATGTCGTCATAATTCGCGGTCTGTAGTTATCGCCCTTAGTAAGCTAAAATCGTTGGTGTTTTCCTGTAGGATTGTAGTTGATTTTAAAGTTGAAAGCTTCTTTAATGTTTATCGTTTAATTTAGTGGGCTCGGGTGGTGGGGCCGCACGTTGGTCTCGTCATCGTTGTGATCATCTATGCGCTGCTTGGCGCCTGGTTTTTTTATAGTTGGGAGTCGCCAAACGAGGATCGAGTGCGTGAAATGTTTGAAATATTTAAGAAAACATGAAAAGCTCACGTTCTATGGGAGTTATTCGTTAAAATTCGTCAACTCATTTCACCGTAGACTTTTTGAAAGCTTAAAAGTGTTGAATTTTGAAGAAATTCTGTGTTTTATAGATGATTTTGAGGAAATATATTATTCAATTTAAAATCTAGCTTTCTAAATCTGAATCTAGATAGATAAATTTAGAGAAATTTAGAGAAATTTAGAGAAATCTATTGGGTTGTCCAGTTATGAATGCGCGTTTTTACTATTTTGTAAATTTCTCAAGATATCGAAAAGATGTTTATATACAGGGTGGCTGACAATTACGTGCGCGCAGCATCAGCATCATAGTTTTAAACAATGTATAAAGCATTACTACTCATCTTTTTGTGTTTTAATATTCTTTTTATCGTGGTCTAATAATTTTTTGTTAAAAAAGTTGTTTTCTAGGTCATGACAAAGACGTGCGCTAGTCGGGACGCAATCGCACAGCTGGCGACGAGCGGCATGAAAAACTCGTCGATCGCATCGAGGCTTGGGGTGGCTCTGAGGACCGTCCAGAAGATCGTAAGGCAATGGAAAGATGAGGGGCATGTTCAGTCCAAGCCCGGAAGAGGACCAAAGAGGACCGTTAACACCCGAAAGATGCGTGGGATCATCAAGAGGAGGATCGAGCGAAAAGACGATCGTAGTTTGAACAAGATGGCAAAACAGCTTCAAATTTCGCGTTTCTCGGTTCAATCGATAGTGAAAAATGAGCTCGGACTTCGAAGTTATCGACTGTTAAACGGGCAAGTGCTCACCGACAAGCCAAGCAAAACCGGAAGGAGAAATGCAAGAAATTGCGAGCTTTTTTCAAGGTGCGGCGCATTGACGATGTTCTTTGGTCAGATGAGAAGATTTTCACCTTGGAAGTGGCTAAAAACTCACAAAATCACCGTTAACTTCTCAGTCCAGCTCTCAAGAGCACTCGTAAACGAAAAGTCGCTACAAAAGGTCTGTTTCCAAAAAGTTTGATGGTTTGGGGTGGCATCAGTGCTTCGGGCAAGACCCCGTTGGTTTTTATCGATAAAAATGTGAAGATTAACGCAAAAGTCTATCAAAAAGAGATTCTCGAGAAAGCTGTGGTGCCATGGAAGAGGAGCCATCCCAATTTGACCCTTCAACAAGATTGGGCGCCGGCCCACGAAGCCAAAACAACAATTCGCTTTCTCGAAACCAAAATTGGCTCTTTTTTGACGAAGGATCAATGGCCTGCAAACAGCCCGGATCTCAATCCGTTGGACTTTTCGGTTTCGGGTTTTATGGAAGAACAATTGAGAAATAGAAAAATCACCAATTTGAATGATTTACGTCGAGAATTGATCAAAATCTGGAACGACTTAGATGCAAATTATCTCCGCCGCACCGTCGATTATGTAAAGAAGCGAATTGAAGCCTGTATCAAAGCGGATGGAGGCCACTTCAAAAATTTCTTGTGATTATTAAATGCTTTTGTTACAACTATTATATAAATAAAGATTTTTACATTTTCTTTGAAAGAAAATTAAATTATGGCGTTTTCTTTGGCGCACGTAATTATCAGCCACCCTGTATATGTTACGTCCGAATCTGAGGAGACGTCCATCTCCGATCTGGACGTCCGAATCTGAGGAGATTCATTCTCCTCCGAAACGGACGTCCAAATCTGAGGAGAATGATCATTCTCCTCAGATTCGGACGTCCGGATCTGAGTCGGACGTCCATCTCTGATTCGGACGTCCATCTCTGATTCGGACGTCCATCTCTGATTCGGACGTCCATCTCTGATTCGGACGTCCATCTCTGATTCGGACGTCCATCTCTGATTCGGACGTCCGTTTCAGAGGAGAATGAATCTCCTCAGATTCGGACGTCCATCTCTGATTCGGACGTCCATCTCTGATTCGGACGTCCGTTTCAGAGGAGAATGAATCTCCTCAGATTCGGACGTCCGGATCGGAGATTGTTATATTTAAAAAAAAGTTATATTGATATATCTATTGGCCAAACATCAAACGGTTAACTCAATTTGAGCGGAGCCAAAACTTGACCCAAGGCACCCATCCATTTTGTAGAGAAAAGGAACCAAATCTGTAGAGAAAAGGAAACAAATCTGTAGAGAAAAGGTCTTGATCCATTTTTTTTCCATCCATTTTTTGGCCACCTCTTCTTCTGTGCAGTCAATTTGCCCAAAAGCTGAACAAATTCAAAAACTTTTTATATCAAAATGTAGAGGAGATCTTCAGCTTTCGAATAATACTCATATATATCGTTTTCTTGATTTCGGTATCTTGAGAAATTTACAAAATAGTAAAAAACGCGCATTCATAACTGGGCAACCCAATAGTTTTCAAGTGGCTCTATAATTAGTTGAAGCGCTTTTTTTCGGCATTTTTTTCACTTTTACAGATAAAGCGACTTTTAAGTAATGACAAGAGGTAAAATGCTCTCGAGAAAGGACAAATTGAAGCATATAAACACGCTAGAAAGAGTAATCGAGAAGTAATCGAGAAGTAATTAATCGACTTCTGGATCGAAGTCATAAAAAATGCGAAAAAACAGTTGTTCATAACTGGACAACCCAATAATATAAATCTGAAATCTTTTTAGCTAAAAGGCATTGGAACAACGAATATTAAAGCTTTACGCTCATTGCTAATGGATGCGATGCACGATCGAAATGCTCTTTTAAAAGTAAATAAATCAAATAAATCAAATAAATCAAATAAATCAAATAAATAAAATAAATCAAATAAATTCATTAAAATGTTTAATAATAATGTTTAAAAATAGTAATGTTTTTAAAAGTCAAATTGAAAAATTTAACAAAAAAATGATGCAAATTGTTGTAGACAAGTTGGCGTGAAGACATCGAGCTAAAGTTGTCCACGTACAACGATCAACTCTACAAAGCGTTTAAAGAGCAATATGTGAGGTCAGACATCTTTAAAGAAGATCTTTAAAGAAGATTATCAACTTAGAATTAGTAAAACACTAGCTAGCTCATCTTTTTGTTTTTCTAGATATCCGGATGTTCGAGTGAAACAAATGGGCGCATCGGAGTCATCGGAGGAAATGAGTGCTGAGGAGAGCTCACGATCCAGAAGGCACAGGTTTACTTGATTTTTCTTTTATTTACATTTATATAAATTTCCATAAATTTCCAACAATTCCAATCAATCTCAATTAATTCCAATGAATTCCAATGAATTCCAATGAATTCCAATCAATTCCAATGAATTCCAATGAATTCCAATGAATTCCAATGAATTCCAATGAATTCCAATCAATTCCAATCAATTCCAATCAATTTCAATCAATTCTAGATTTAAATCCGAGTTCTAGCTTGCATTTAAAACAACTTTTAATCCTTTCATTTCCTTTATAGACAAGGCAAATCACGATCCCGACAGAACAAAATGTGGACGCCGGCAAGTGCGATTTTCTTCGCCGCTACAACAATGGCCACTATTGGTGAGTTAAAATAGTGCAAAACTTGTACAGTAGAAAATCTTTTAAGCTTATCAGATTTATTCGATTATTCCTGAGTTCGGAGAATCGAGTTTCTCCATTTATTATCTAAGATTTACTAGTTTCCTATAGAAAACCTGACTCTAATAGAAAAACCTTCCTGGCTCCGTAAAATCGAGACTTTTTAGAGATTCTTTATAGCTAAAGTTAATGATACGATATCGTAAATGCTTTAGATATCGTAAATGCTGGATTAGAATGACATCCTCTAATAGAATGACACCTCACTTACATGAAATAGTTTTTTGGAAGTATTGCATTCGCCCACTCGCCCCTCCGCCCCTCTGAGCCTGCCCCTCCGCCCCTCCGTCCCCGCCCGCGCCCCTCCGTCCCCGCCCGCGCCCCTCCGTCCCCGCCCGCGCCCCTCCGAGCCCGCCCCTCCGCCCCTCCGTCCCTCCACCCTCCGCCCCTCCGTCCCTCCACCCTCCGCCCCTCCGTCCCTCCACCCTCCGCCTCCGCCCGCGCCCCTCCGAACTCGCCCCTCCGTCCCTCGGCCCCTCCGCCCCTCCGAACTCGCCCCTCCGTCCCTCGGTCCCTCCGTCCCTCCACCCTCCGCCCCTGCGCCTCCGCCCCCGCCCTCAGCCCCTTCGTAGCTGCCCTGGATGTCCATTGATTGCATTTGGCTACGCAAAAATTTTAGGCACCCGTCAAATTTGTATCGAATTTCGACTGTAGATTATATTTAGTGACGAAATGCAAGAACGGATATAGAAAGATATCTAGGTTACGGTAACATCGTGCCAGTGACGCCAACTGGTCGAATTGGTTGTGTAATATTTGCACTCATCGGCGCTCCACTCGCCATCATCACCATTGGAGATTTGGGGAAATTTCTTTCAGGTAATTGAGAGAGAAATGTTAATCACCTCAAGCTAGAATATGTTAGCAAATCGAATTTTAAAAGAGCTTCTTTTATTTTCTGATTTATTTCTGATTACTGATTACTATTGAGAGTTTAAACCTCCTTTTTACTATCAAAAGTTTTATGAGACTTTCCAGAAAGTTTTTTTTTCGTTTTTTTTTCGTTTTTTAGTTACTCTTGACCAATTCTATTTATTATTTTTATCAAAAATTCTTAATATTTATTTAGGAATTGTTCTTTAAGGAATTCTTTAAGCCTAAAAACGATCAAAACAGGTAAAAACCGACTAAAAATGGCCTTTTTTTAACCTTTTAAACTCTGTGCCCTTTTTAAGCGCTTCTGTATATCCAATTCACTTTAGAATGCACGATTTGGCTTTACAAACGGATGAAACGCGGTTGGGCATGGTCTCGGCAAATGTTGAAACGAGTGAGAGCAAATGGAAAAGGTTTGGAGTTTTGGAAAGACTGTACGTCAGATATTATTCGATCAAATCGACTATATAGATAAAGCAGAAGAGACGCCTGTTTGTCTGTCTGTTTGTCTGTTTGTCTGCCTGTCTGCCTGTCTGTCTGTCTTTTTGTCTGTCTGTCTTTCTGGCCGTCCGTTTGTGCGTAAACGCGACGCTCCGTAAATACGTTTGCTCTATGGCAAAGTATTCAGCTTTTTTTCGAAACACCCTTTTTTCAGACGTTTTTCAGACTATGGGGAATCTGAATTTTAGGTCGATTTTTTTTAAAAAAAGGCTAAAAAGGCAAGGCTTCACATCTAAATTGAGTCTAAATTGAGTTCCTCCAAAGCCGAAAACTCTGCACCTGCAAGAACACCGAGAAAACGAGCGTCGAAGTTGACCCGGCTTTTGCGGTTTTTTCTTAGGGAAAACCTGCGAAAGAAAACTGTACGTAAGATGTTATTCGATCAAATCTACTATATATAAAGCAGAAGAGACGTCTGTCTGTCTGTCTGTCTGTCTGTCCTGGCCGTCCGTTCGTCCGTTTGTGCGCAAAGGCGACGCTAATCTCTAAATCGCTAATCTCTGCGCTAATCACTAAACAAATCCTGTAAAAGTGTTTAGCCAGCTTACTGCTGCTGCTGCTTTGGTGCTTATTCTACTAGATATTCGATCAGATTTCCCCCCAAAAACCTGTCCCATTTGCGTGCTGCACTTTGGGATGCACTTTAGCCAGCAATTTCCCTAGAAATTCCTCCCATTTCCCGTTTTTCTTTTTTTCAGACGAATTGGAACCGTTTCTGCCAAAACGGTGGCGCAGAGATAGAAATGAAGGTTTGAGAAATGCAAATAAAGCGAATATATACAAATTTTCTCTCTCTCTCTCTCTCTTTTGAATGCAAATTCTGAATTTTGAAAAAAATTACGTTCTGTTTTGCTATTTGGTGGATAATTTTTCTCGCAACAAAATAACCCTCTGTTGAAATAAAAAGGCACGTTTTCGGAAAGCGGAAAGCTTGTGATTTGATTGAAAAGACCATTTTTGAGACCTTTTTCCAACCACCTTCCCACGGCTCCCTTGGCCCAGTGGTAACGTGTTGGCCTCCAGTTAGAGCGATCGAGGGTTCGATCCCCGCCACCCTAACCTTTTCTGCAACCAAAACTCTGGTGCAGAGATAGAAATCAAGGCTTGATAAATGCAAATTCCTTTCTTCTTTTTCGAAAAGACCATTTTTGAGTCCTTTTTCCGACCAGGTTACAGCTACCCCCTTGGCCGGGTGGTAAAGCGCTGGCCTGCGGTCAGAACCATCGAGGGTTCGGCCCCCACCGCTGTAACCCTTCTTGCAACCAAAACTCTGATGCAGAGATAGCAGTGAAGGTTTGATAAATGCAAATAATGCGAATCGATGCAGATTTTTCTCCCTTCATTTTTCGAAAAGACCATTTTTGAGTCCTTTTTCCGACTAGCTTTCAGCTACACCCTTGGCCGGGTGGTAAAGCGCTGGCCTCCGTTGAGAACCATCGAGGGTTCGAGCCCGCCACTCCAATTCTCTTTTCCTTTTTCTATTTTTAAACCTTAGAATTAAAAATATCGAGCTAAATTCAATTCAATTCAATTCAATTCAATGAAACCGCAAGCTTTCCATTGTTCTAGATCTGGGGTGCATGCTTAAAGATGAATTCAACAATGATTTTATGTTCAACATTTTCAGGAGAAGTCATTGAGGATGACGATCTTCAATCTAAGGTTTGGTTTACTGGATTTTTATCTCAAAAAAGCCTAGAATTGTTCATTTTATTCTAAATTCTTTTCAGAAAAACGACAAAAATACAGAAGAGATAAAGATAAAAATCGAGGTTTCGTGTAGAAATTTGAAAAATTTTTTTTTTTCTTTTTAACAATTTTTAAAATCAAATTTTTTTCAAATTTTTAGAGATTTTAATTGATTTTTTAAAGGTTTTTTATGGTTAAAAACGAATTTTTATGATTAAAAACGTATGTTTATCTCGATTTTCTAGGGTTCATCGAAGAGCACGCTCAATTGGGACACTTTTGTCATTGACAAAACCGAAGTGCCCGTCATTCTCGTTTTTGCCATTTTGCTCGTGAGTTTACACATTTGGTGTACTTTGTGCTCTCACGCCGCAAAACGCACCATTTCTGGCGCGCACAGAAATGTGAGCCGAAACGAAATCAACGAGCTACAGTAACCCAAGCTACAGTAACCCAAGCTACAGTAACCCAAGGCTCCAGCCATTATTTGGGTACTGTAGTTTAAAAGCAATTACCCAGGGTTACGGTAGAGTTAGAAATTTGAGCCGAGCACAATGAGATCAACGAGTTACAGTAATCTTTAGGCTACAGGCTCTAGTTAGAGGATCCAGTAGAGTTACCGTAACCTGTCTATACCTGTACTGTACTGTACTGTACTGTAACCCTGGCCAAGTGTTTTAAACTCGAAGATACTGTAATAAGAAGATCTTTAGTTTACTAGATTTATTGCATATTTCGATGAACTTTGTGCTCTCGAAAAGCGCTAAACGCAAATCCTCTGGTGCACTCGATTCATCAGTTTTCTTGTGTCAAACTAGTACGCCAGAAAGTTTGCGATTACCGAAACTTCTTGAATTGGGTTTTCAAAGCTCAAAAGGGAATGAAAAGAGCTCAAAGTGCAGAATCGCTTCGTCAGCTCTGATAGCTCTGAAAACTCTGAAACGGCTGCTTCTGAGGCTCTAAAAATTAGCTTCAAACACCTCTTCGAAATTTGAGGGAATTTTCTATGTCATATTCCTTTGCGATTGCGTGCGTTTTTGGAGCTAATTTTTAGCGATTCAGAATCAGCATCGTCGACTCTATGAGATCATAAAGCGATTCTGCACTTCGAGCTGCACTTCGAGCTGCACTTCGAGCTGCACTTCGAGCTGCACTTCGAGCTGCACTTCGAGCTGCACTTCGAGCTGCACTTCGAGCTGCACTTCGAGCTGCACTTCGAGCTGCACTTCGAGCTGCACTTCGAGCTGCACTTCGAGCTGCACTTCGAGCTGCACTTCGAGCTGCACTTCGAGCTGCACTTCGAGCTGCACTTCGAGCTGCACTTCGAGCTGCACTTCGAGCTGCACTTCGAGCTGCACTTCGAGCTGCACTTCGAGCTGCACTTCGAGCTGCACTTCGAGCTGCACTTCGAGCTGCACTTCGAGCTGCACTTCGAGCTGCACTCCCTTGTCCACTCCCATTCCCTTGTCAACACCACTTTTCAGCTTTACATAGCGTTTGGCGGGTTGTTGTTCACATTTCTCGAAGACTGGTCGTATATGGACGCCTTTTATTATTGTCAGTTTAACAATTTTTCACAACAATCTCAAAAAAACAAAAAAAAATCATCAACTTTTTCAGCTTTTATCTCTCTTACTACAATCGGGTTCGGTGATATTGTGCCGGAGAATCACGAGTGAGTTTTTTTTTTGATTTTATTCACCCAAAAACCCATCCCCATCTCGTGCACTCGATTCCACATTTGTTTTTCTCGATTTTTCAAAGAATTCTTGAATATTTCCCCTCCTTTTCCCATTGACAATCAAATTTTAAACAAACTTTAAACAAACTTTAAACCAACTTTAAACTTAAAACTTAAATTTCTTAGTGTTAAGCTGTTCAATGAAAGCATTGTACGTAAAAATCGATAGAGAAAAACTTAGCGCATCTAATGCTTCGAATAATTTAGAAATTCGATATCCCAACAAAAAGAAATTTTGAGTTTAAACTTCTTATTTGCAAGCTAACTTTGAGCTCAAATCTCTTGGTGTTCGGCTGTTTAATTTCTAAATTTTTGATCTTATTAGATGCGCCAAGACTTTCTCTGTCGATTGGTAGAAAAACCATTTCAATTCGATAGCCTAAAGCCAAGAAATTTGAGCTTAAAGTCAGCCAATGGGGAAAAGAGGAGTGTATCAAATGTTCGATCACATTCGCAAAGCGTTTCTGTAAGAGAAACGAAGATCGAGTGAGCTAGAGGAGAAGAGAAGAGCTACTGTAGCTACTGTAGCTACTAAACAAGTCCAAATTTCATTTTATTATGTTGGCAAGTTATAAACGATAGTTTTAAGCAAGAAGTTCTTTATTCAATAGAACGCAAAAAAGAACGTTAATCGAAAAGGTATTCTCCATTATTATCGATGACTTCTTGCCATCTTTAGCGCAATTTCTTGATACAATTCTCAAAAAAAATCCTTCTGAGCATCCTTTTGAGCAAAGTAAAATCAAGCAAAATCAAATGCGTCCTTGATACCATTCTCAAAAAACTAAGCATCCTTCTAAGCAAAATAGAATCAAGCAAAATCAAATGCGTTTTTGCATGATCATCGAAAAGTTTTCCATAGAGGAATTGCTTTAATGATCGAAACAAATGGTAATCTGAGGGTGCTAGGTCGGGTGAATAAAGCGCATTTGGTAGAGCTCGTTGCGTCGCTTTCAGCCAGGCTGAGTTGAGCAAATTTGATGATTTTTGCATCAAAATGTTCGTAAGAGTCTCTAGAATAAAACTTATCCCTTCGTTTTTGGTTCTAGACCCTCGTTGTCGAGTTACGAGCCCCAAACTGCAGGGTACCACAAAATTTCCCATACAAAATGACCAAAAAACCGTTAAACCTAAATTTAAAAAATTTCTGTCAGAGGGATTTGAAAAATTCCTTCAGATTCGGGAACCAGCACAATTTTCCGCATCTAAAAACGCTACTCCTAGAAAAATCCGATAGAAAACGCATTTTCGCGCCGATGTGCGTTGCCATTTTGAAAGCGTTGAAACCATTTTCGACATTGACTTTCGACATTGACTTTCGACATTGACTTTCGACATTGACTTTCGACATTGACTTTCGACATTGACTTTACTTCCATCTTCAAAAGTGGAAATAATTGTACGATGAGATTCAGCGGCTGATTTTCCTTGTTTAAAATCGTAGAGCATAGGATCGAATAAGAAATTTTTCGTCCTCCATTTTTTCAGGAAAATAGCGGCTCAGAAATTTGAAAGGGATCTTGAGATGAAAGGGATGTTTACGCAGAGGGATGAAAGGGATGTTGATGCTAAAATATTGTAGTTTATTTGCAGAAAAAAACCCACAAAAAAATCTTTTCTAAGAAATCATTGAACAAAGCAAGCGATCGTTTATAACTTGCCAACCTAATAGAACAAAAGTGCTAGAAGAGCTGACGATTTTTCCTTTTTCATTTCAGCTACATTGTCATCATGTTATTATATCTGGGTGTCGGCTTAGCTGTCACAACAATGTGCATCGATTTGGTCGGCATTCAGTACATCCAGAAGATTCACTATTTCGGGCGTAAATTCAAAGGCACCGACTTGCTGCAATTGCTCAAACGGAAACGGGCTATCGGTGAGGGAAAAGAGTTTTTGTATTATTTTAAAAAAGAGCTTTCTAACAATTTAAAAACAATTTTCAAATGTCATTGAGAAAATTAGCTTTATTCTTTTTTCTCTACTCCTTTTCATAAGCTAATTTTGCAGCTATTATACAGGAAAATTAGTCGAATTGAATGGTTTCTTTTTTGTTTTTTTCAAAAATGAATTATTGCCAAGATATATCAAAATTTAGTTGAACTAATTTTCAGAAATTCAAGAAATTATAAGATTATAAAGTATGGATATACTGGACTAGATATCGGACTAGATATTGGACTAGATATCGGACTAGATATCGGACTAGATATCGGACTAGATATTAGGTTAGAAAGAAATTTCTCGGAAAAAGTTTGCATGATGAAATTTCTTTCTAATTTCTTTAGAAATTAGAGGAGGAAATTTCTTTCTAACCTAATATCTAGTCCAATATCTACTCCAATATCTACTCCAATATCTAGTCCAATATCTAGTCCAATACCTAGTCCAATACCTAGTCCAATATCTAGTCCAATATCTACTCCAATATCTACTCCAATATCTACTCCAATATCTAGTCCAATATCTAGTCCAATATCTATTCCAATATCTAGTCCAATATCTACTCCAATATCTAGTCCAATATCTAGTCCAATATCTACTCCAATATCTAGTCCAATATCTAGTCCAATATCTATTCCAATATCTAGTCCAATATCTAGTCCAATATCTACTCCAATATCTACTCCAATATCTAGTCCAATATCTAGAACAAGTCCAATAAGAGTAGGGTTTAAAGAGGCGCCGAGAAATTGGAGTTAAGGTATAGCTTAGTATTGTGTACTTGAAATGAAATAGAAAATAATAGAAATGAAGAAAGGGTAATTTCTTGGCGTCGACTTGTAAATAATAGAACAAAATGTTCTTGAATTGGTGGATTTGTTTTGAAGAAATTCCAATCAAAATTTCCAACTTTTTCGACAACTTTCTTTCCAACTTAATACTTGAAGACTAAACCAAGAAAACCTCTTTTTTTTTCTAGAACGACATTTAATGCGAAGTGGAGCCACTAACGAACAAGTGATGGAGGTGATGAAACACGTGCTCGATCACATGTAAGTTCTATTGTTCTATTCTTTTGTCTTTTTGGTCTTAAAACAAAATGATTTCTCACACATTGAAATCTTTTTTATCTTTTTCCCCAGATTTTCTATGATAAACCCGAGAATAACGTTGTCTTTTTGGCGCTAACTTTTCCCGGAAATTCAGCCACGAATCCGAACCACCGCCAATTCTGCTCACCGATCGCTACGAGAAAGTCTCACTCATGCAACACACGCCCACACCGAGCACACCATCAGCTGTGTGAGTTGATTTCTTGTCGACAAAAATCAATGGATAAAAATTTCTGTGTTTAGACATTTTCTCCGAGTCATAGTCAGGCTTAAAGGCTGGCTTACAACGCCTAGAGCTAGCCAAAAGACAGAGCTACAGAACTAGGAGCTACAGAACTAGCTACAGAGCTTATACAGGATTTCTGGCTAAAATTGTATCAATTGACATGTATCTGTGCCTATTCTCAGGCACAGAGCTCGGTTAAAAGATTCCCGTTGTTGATTCTTGAAAGATTCTTGTTGTCTCTGATACTCTCAATTGATTTATGAATTTTATAGTCATCGACAAAAGTAAGACATAAGGTATAAGGTTATAGTAAGTCAAGGGCCCTTTCCTGGCGACAATCGAATACGTCGGTGTAGCTCATTGGTAGAGCGTTCGCCCGGTAAGCGCTCACGGGTTCGAATCCTGGCGCCGACCATTCCCTGCCTCAATCCATAAAAGCACCAACTCCATGACTGTAGGTGGAGGCTAAATCTTGATGAAAAGATAAGCACAAAACAATTGTGATTGTATAGCAATTGTTAGTTAATAACGTGCCAAGATTCCCGTGTTCAAGCTCGTTTATAATTATATTTTCGTACCTAGATTCATTTCTAACTATAATAAAGTTCCTAGACTCATTTCCAACTGTAATACCGTCCCTAGACTCGTTTCCAACTCTAATACCGTACCTAGATTCATTTCCAGCTGTAATACCGTCCCTAGATTCATTTCTAACTATAATAACGTTCCTAGACTCATTTCCAACTCTAATACCGTATCCAGATTCATTTCCAGCTCTAATACCGTCCCTAGATTCATTTCTAACTATAATACCGTACCTAGATTCATTTCTAATTGAAATACAGGTCGTAATTAGGTCCATTTCCAAACTAGCAAGTTCTAACTGCTTCCAATCAGCCAACAGGTCCACTTCACAGACTTGTACCGTACAGAGAAGAGACATTTACTTAAAAGACTACAAACGAATTACATAAAACGTTTGCTACAATTAAATAAATATCTAATAAAGTAATGAAAACCGTGCCAATTTCCATTTAACCATTGTTGCAGCTGGGTCGAAGACGAGATGGTCTACCAGGCGCCGCTTCGAACCGATCTGCCGAACGCGGAGCACGTTCCCTCGCCAACCATCATGTCAATACGAAGGTTAGCTTCTAAAAATCGATTGTAATACATCTAATTTCTAAAACCCAATAAGTTTTCTTCGTTTATTTTCATTTTCCTTACCTTTTTCTTCATTTTTAAGTTGGCGTCCCCCGTCTCGGTACAGCAATTCGTCGGCAAGCGCACGATCACTGTAAGTTTTTCAAGTTTAAAGCCTTTTCTTTTAGTTTTAAACTATTATAGGCATATTATAGGCATATTATAGTATGTTATAGTATATATTATAGTCAATATTATCATATTATTCAATTATAATCAATATTATAATCAATATTATAGGCAATATTATAGACAATATTATCAGCTTATAAATGCTTATAGCCTATATTATAGCCTATATTATAGCCTATATTATAGTCAATATTATAGTCTATATTATAGTCTATATTATAGTCTATATTATAATCAATATTATAATCAATATTATAATCAATATTATTGATATTTTATTTTAGTATGTTTCACCGAATGAGATCCCGAGGCGATTCATGGGATGAGTCGGGACCATCACTTTCTGAACATTGCTCTTTGTCCACTGAGCCAAGTGTTCATTTGAGAGTGGTTTGTTTTTGAGAATTATTTAGAGAAAGTCTTTCATTTAGAAGTTTCTTTTTAAACCTAGTTAAACTAAAGAGAGATTTTATAATTTAACAAGCAAAAAAAATGGGTTTTTCTTTTCTCTTTCTTTTTCAAAAAGCTTTTTGAAATAGGCTTCTTTTTTGATTTTTAGATTTCGAATTTGATAATTTACTTGAAAAGAAAAGAAAAGATAAGTTATCAATAAGTTATTTATCTATTTTTAACTTTTATTCTGTTACCGTAAATACTGGAATAGTACCCCACCCCCTACGTACAGTCGCGTCGTCGCAAAAGTTTTTTAATATCTCATTTTTTTCAAAGCGTCCGTACTTTCAAAAAATACGTCTTTGGTATCAAAAAATAGCCCTGAATTTCAGCTATTTTTTGATACCTAAACGAACATTGTAGCATAAACCAGTGTCGAGAAAAACTCGTTCAAAGCTAGACTACGCAACACTCCGCACCGTCATTATGGGGGTGGGGTACTATTACAGTAGTTACGGTAAGTAATTATCGATTATCTATTATCTATTATCTTTTATCTATTATCTATGATTTATTATCGTTTTTTAGAACTATTGGGACGAGTACCGATCCCCGGAGCCGTCTGTGGACTCGTTCAAGTTCGAGTTCCCGCTGCCCAGCCCTGACTACGAGAAAATCGGTTTGTCGCTTAATTGGACTTCGAAAATGAAAGCGTACACTAGTTTTTTTTCTAAAATATTCGAAAATCTCTTCAATCTAAACGAAAAGATCGTCTATTTGGTTGACCAAAAGATCTACGATCTATTGGGTTGGATCTTGATATTGATTTGACTTTACTGCAAGCTGGGCTTGGTTAAGCGCTAGGATTACGGTAATGGGATATGAGCTAGACCTAGGCAAGCTATGACTTGATTTGGCCAGCTCTAGATTCTAGAATCTAGACTCTAGATTCTAGAATCTAGAGTCTAGAATCTAGACTCTAGATTCTAGAATCTAGAATCTAGACTCTAGATTCTAGAATCTAGAATCTAGAGTCTAGAATTTAGAGTCTAGATTCTAGATTCTAGAATCTAGAGTCTAGAGTCTAGAATTTAGAGTCTAGAGTCTATTGGGTTGGTGAATTGAAAACTGCCGGACTTTGAACTAAAATTTATTCAACATAAAACCATGAATTCATTCCAAATAATTTCCATTATTATTGACGACTTCTGCCCATTTTACAGGCAATTTGCGGATTCCTCTTCCGTAGTAGGATTTTGGTTTGTGTGTGAGACAAGTGTGAGACTCAAAAATAGAAGACTGGAGAATGGAGGACTCCCAGTTTGGGCACTTTCTTTAAAAGAAACCCATTTTGGTGTCAATAGAAAAGTTGTAGAGAATCAAAAATTAGGCTTATAGCCAAATTTCCAACAAGATACACTTCGAAGTTTTGCTTAAAATGCAAGTTTTGTGAGAATTCGTAAATTTGGCATTTCTTGAAAATGAGTTTTTGAATCGTCCTGAAAATTGGGATATAAGCTTGATTTTTGATTCTCTACAACTTTTCCATTGACACAAAAATGGGTTTCTTTTGAAGAAAGTGCTCAAATGCTCAAACTGGGACATCTCCAGTCCTCCATTTTCGAGTCTCACACTTGTCTCACACACAAACCAAAATCCTACTACGAAAGAGGAATTTGCAAGTTTGCTGTAAAATGGGCAGAAGTCGTCAATAATAATGGAAATTATTTGGAATGAATTTATGGTTTTATGTTGAATAAATTTTAGTTCAAAGTCGGGCAGTTTTTAATTCACCAAACCAATAGATAGGAATTTCAAAAAGTTATTCATATATCTAGATTTATAATAGATTTAAATCTAAATTTATCTCAAAAGAAGTTTCTCAAAATCTGGACCTTGTCTCCTTTTTTGTCGTGTCGACCTGTTCGGGATCTTCGCTTTTCTCGCGGCCGATCTCGGAGTCTAAACACAAATTTGCATTTGAAATCAATTATTTTCTATTATATAACTGAATATCTTATTTAATAACTGAATATCTTTAATTTAATAGAATATCTTGCTATTTTTTCAATTTTCCAATTTCCTCACCAGACGCATTCTCGAAAGAATCCCAATATTTCGCCAACGCGGCGCTCATTCGAACCATTTTTTAAAAGTTAGATGAAAATAGTTAGAGAATCATTCTAAAATAAGTTAAAGATTATAATAGTTAGAGAATCATTCTAAAATTTACGAATTTTCACAAAACTTGCAATTTAAGCAAAACTACTAGGTGAATCTTTTTGGAAATTTGGCTATAAGCCTCATTTTTGATTCTCTACAACTTTTCTATTGACACCAAAATGGGTTTCTTTTGAAGAAAGTTCTCAAACTGGGTCCAAACTGGACATCTCCAGTCCTCCATTTTTGAGTCTCACACTTGTCTCACACACAAACCAGAATCCTACTACGAAAGAGGAATCCGCAAATTGCCTGTAAAATGGGCACAAGTCGTCAATAATAATGGAAATTATTTGGAATGAATTCATGGTTTTATGGTGAATAAATTTTAGTTCAAAGTCTCGCAGTTTTTAATTCACCAACCCAATAGATCAATTCAAAGCACTTTTAAATCTATGAAGAAAAATTTAAATTTAAAAAGCTACAAATACTGTAGCAAGTAACCTAGACTCCTAGTTTAATCTTATCAATTTATCGTTTAATATCTTCTAACAAGAGTGTACCTATTCAAAAGGATAAATAAAACATTACTAGAGCTTTAGAGTCATAATACTTACAAGTGTACTAAGTACTAAGCCTATGCTAAGACTCTAAAGCTCACTCATTCTAGTTCTAAGAAGTTGTGTCTGTTTTAAACTCGAGAAAACCAGCTTCCAGCTCTAAAAATAAAGATAACCTTGTCTTGTACTATCAAAATCGGTGATTGATTCATTTAAAAGTACTGTAATTGACCCTTTTTTTTCACCAACCGAATAAAAATCAATATTTCCTCCCAAGATTTGCAAAAGATCATAAATTTTCAGTAAAATTAAGTTATTTTTAAGTCCTATGGGACTATTGAATCTATTTACAAAGTACTTTAAAAGTAAAAAGACTCTAGAAAAAGAGAAAACACTGATAACACTAGTTGTTAAGGATCTAGATCTGATCTAGATCTGATCTAGATCTAATCTAGATCTAATCTAAATATTCCTAAAAGTTCGAAACGCTAGCTAGATCACGATCAAGATTGATAGCTGACTCTGAGCCTCGATCTGGCCTTGATAAAACTTTAAGAATAAACCTGGCTGGATGAATGAACTGGATGAATCTGTTGACAATAGATTCCCCGATTAGCCAGCACCTTTTTGAAACCCCAAGACTTTAGGAAAAAGATTGAAATCCAAGATTTACTTGCATAGAATCTAAAGCTTCGAATTTCAGCGCTCTCCGCGAAACGCTCTCGTCGCATCCGTTCGTGTCCCGGCTCCTATGCGATCCCCTCTCCTCCATCTTCAGCTCATTCAACCGCCTCCACGAGTTCCTCTGTAAGCTGGCGATCAACCCAAAAAGCGGGCGAAAGGCCGGCCTCTCTCCGACCTTTACGTGTCGACACTTCCCCCTCAGCTATCACCTGATCCTCTGCAATTCCCACCGCCAAACTCTTTCTCCATCTCTGAACCGTTCATGCTCGCCAAGCTTGCCGCACAGGTTGGATTTGGGTTGAGAGAGGGATTTGAGCAAGATCTTCTTCTAGTTTATGGGATCAGTACTTTTCTAAACATTACCAAAAGCTATCGTACTCTTAAACTCATCTAGGCTACCGTAATTTAGCCGTTAGCTGTTACTAAGCCTATGCTAAGACTAAGCCAAGCCTAGGCCGAGCCTAAGCCAAGCCAAAACTAAACCTAAACCTAGCGTAAGCTTAGTTCCGATTTTGATCTAATACGGTTCCAATACGGTTCCTATTTTGATCTAAGACGGATCTAAGCCGAGCCTGAGCCGAGCCTAAGCCGAACCAAAGCTAAACCAAAGCTAAACCTAAGCCTAGCGTAAGCCTAGCGCAAGCCTAGCGCAAGCCTAGCGCAAGCCTAGCGCAAGCCTAGCGCAAGCCTATTCGAAAATCTCTTCAATCTAAACGAAAGATCGTCTATTTGGTTGACCAAAAGATCTACGATCTATTGGGTTGGATCTTGATATTGATTTGACTTTACTGCAAGCTGGGCTTGGTTAAGCGCTAGGATTACGGTAATGGGATATGAGCTAGACCTAGGCAAGCTATGACTTGATTTGGCCAGCTCTAGATTCTAGAATCTAGAATCTAGAGTCTAGAATCTAGAGTCTAGAATCTGGACTCTAGATTCTAGAATCTAGAATCTAGACTCCTAGATTCTAGAATCTAGAATCTAGACTCTAGATTCTAGAATCTAGAATCTAGAGTCTAGATTCTAGAATCTAGAATCTAGAGTCTAGAATTTAGAGTCTAGAGTCTAGAATCTATTGGGTTGGTGAATTGAAAACTGCCGGACTTTGAACTAAAATTTATTCAACATAAAACCATGAATTCATTCCAAATTTCCATATTATTGACGACTTCTGCCCATTTTACAGGCAATTTGCGGATTCCTCTTCCGTAGTAGGATTTTGGTTTGTGTGTGAGACAAGTGTGAGACTCAAAAATAGAAGACTGGAGAATGGAGGACTCCCAGTTTGGGCACTTTCTTTAAAAGAAACCCATTTTGGTGTCAATAGAAAAGTTGTAGAGAATCAAAAATTAGGCTTATAGCCAAATTTCCAACAAGATACACTTCGAAGTTTTGCTTAAAATGCAAGTTTTGTGAGAATTCGTAAATTTGGCATTTCTTGAAAATCAGTTTTTGAATCGTTCTGAAAATTGGGATATAAGCTTGATTTTTGATTCTCTACAAATTTTCCATTGACACAAAAATGGGTTTCTTTTGAAGAAAGTGCTCAAATGCTCAAACTGGGACATCTCCAGTCCTCCATTTTCGAGTCTCACACTTGTCTCACACACAAACCAAAATCCTACTACGAAAGAGGAATTTGCAAGTTTGCTGTAAAATGGGCAGAAGTCGTCAATAATAATGGAAATTATTTGGAATGAATTCATGGTTTTATGGTGAATAAATTTTAGTTCAAAGTCTGGCAGTTTTTAATTCACCAAACCAATAGATAGGAATTTCAAAAAGTTATTCATATATCTAGATTTATAATAGATTTAAATCTAAATTTATCTCAAAAGAAGTTTCTCAAAATCTGGACCTTGTCTCCTTTTTTGTCGTGTCGACCTGTTCGGGATCTTCGCTTTTCTCGCGGCCGATCTCGGAGTCTAAACACAAATTTGCATTTGAAATCAATTATTTTCTATTATATAACTGAATATCTTATTTAATAACTGAATATCTTTAATTTAATAGAATATCTTGCTATTTTTTCAATTTTCCAATTTCCTCACCAGACGCATTCTCGAAAGAATCCCAATATTTCGCCAACGCGGCGCTCATTCGAACCATTTTTTAAAAGTTAGATGAAAATAGTTAGAGAATCATTCTAAAATAAGTTAAAGATTATAATAGTTAGAGAATCATTCTAAAATTTACGAATTTTCACAAAACTTGCAATTTAAGCAAAACTACTAGGTGAATCTTTTTGGAAATTTGGCTATAAGCCTCATTTTTGATTCTCTACAACTTTTCTATTGACACCAAAATGGGTTTCTTTTGAAGAAAGTTCTCAAACTGGGTCCAAACTGGACATCTCCAGTCCTCCATTTTTGAGTCTCACACTTGTCTCACACACAAACCAGAATCCTACTACGAAAGAGGAATCCGCAAATTGCCTGTAAAATGGGCACAAGTCGTCAATAATAATGGAAATTATTTGGAATGAATTCATGGTTTTATGGTGAATAAATTTTAGTTCAAAGTCTCGCAGTTTTTAATTCACCAACCCAATAGATCAATTCAAAGCACTTTTAAATCTATGAAGAAAATTTAAATTTAAAAAGCTACAAATACTGTAGCAAGTAACCTAGACTCCTAGTTTAATCTTATCAATTTATCGTTTAATATCTTCTAACAAGAGTGTACCTATTCAAAAGGATAAATAAAACATTACTAGAGCTTTAGAGTCATAATACTTACAAGTGTACTAAGTACTAAGCCTATGCTAAGACTCTAAAGCTCACTCATTCTAGTTCTAAGAAGTTGTGTCTGTTTTAAACTCGAGAAAACCAGCTTCCAGCTCTAAAAATAAAGATAACCTTGTCTTGTACTATCAAAATCGGTGATTGATTCATTTAAAAGTACTGTAATTGACCCTTTTTTTTTCACCAACCGAATAAAAATCAATATTTCCTCCCAAGATTTGCAAAAGATCATAAATTTTCAGTAAAATTAAGTTATTTTTAAGTCCTATGGGACTATTGGATCTATTTACAAAGTACTTTAACAGTAAAAGACTCTAGAAAAAGAGAAAACACTGATAACACTAGTTGTTAAGGATCTAGATCTGATCTAGATCTGATCTAGATCTGATCTAGATCTGATCTAGATCTAATCTAAATATTCCTAAAAGTTCGAAACGCTAGCTAGATCACGATCAAGATTGATAGCTGACTCTGAGCCTGATCTGGCCTTGATAAAACTTTAAGAATAAACCTGGCTGGATGAATGAACTGGATGAATCTGTTGACAATAGATTCCCCGATTAGCCAGCACCTTTTTGAAACCCCAAGACTTTAGGAAAAAGATTGAAATCCAAGATTTACTTGCATAGAATCTAAAGCTTCGAATTTCAGCGCTCTCCGCGAAACGCTCTCGTCGCATCCGTTCGTGTCCCGGCTCCTATGCGATCCCCTCTCCTCCATCTTCAGCTCATTCAACCGCCTCCACGAGTTCCTCTGTAAGCTGGCGATCAACCCAAAAGCGGGCGAAAGGCCGGCTCTCTCTCCGACCTTTACGTGTCGACACTTCCCCTCAGCTATCACCTGATCCTCTGCAATTCCCACCGCCAAACTCTTTCTCCATCTCTGAACCGTTCATGCTCGCCAAGCTTGCCGCACAGGTTGGATTTGGGTTGAGAGAGGGATTTGAGCAAGATCTTCTTCTAGTTTATGGGATCAGTACTTTTCTAAACATTACCAAAAGCTATCGTACTCTTAAACTCATCTAGGCTACCGTAATTTAGCTGTTACTAAGCCTATGCTAAGACTAAGCCAAGCCTAGGCCGAGCCTAAGCCAAGCCAAAACTAAACCTAAACCTAGCGTAAGCTTAGTTCCGATTTTGATCTAATACGGTTCCAATACGGTTCCTATTTTGATCTAAGACGGATCTAAGCCGAGCCTAAGCCGAACCAAAGCTAAACCTAAGCCTAGCGTAAGCCTAGCGCAAGCCTAGCGCAAGCCTAGCGCAAGCCTAGCGCAAGCCTAGCGCAAGCCTAGCGCAAGCCTAGCGCAAGCCTAGCGCAAGCCTAGCGCAAGCCTAGCGCAAGCCTAGCGCAAGCCTAGCGCAAGCCTAGCGCAAGCCTAGCGCAAGCCTAGCGCAAGCCTAGCGCAAGCCTAGCGCAAGCCTAGCGCAAGCCTAGCGCAAGCCTAGCGCAAGCCTAGCGCAAGCCTCATCCAGTTGTTTCTAAACTTTACCCAAACTTACCGTATTCTTATATCTGATTGTGCTCCCAAATAAACGCATACTCTCTAGTGCACTCTTGGCCAAAGTACTGTGCCAAAAGGTGAGCGTTTAAGCGCATAAAGTACGGACGATTTTTTTAAGAAAGAAAGACTTTCTAGATAAGTTTCAAGATCTTACTATCTCACTCTCAAGCAAATCCGAATCATTGCTCTGTCTTTGTGCAAAATCGCTTTTTCTCTAAATGTAGTGTGATCTGTTGGAAAGATGGGAAAGCGATCAACTGAATTTCCAATCACCGCGACAACCGATGACAAATATTAGAGATGAAGAGGATGAAGAAGAGAAGGACGACGATTCATCTTTTCGTCTACTTTCCCCACCGCAAGGTGTGTAGATTTTTGTGATTGAGTGTTGCTCGAGCTTTAGACTTAGACTTTACCCTACTGTAACCTAAGCTAAGCTAAGAAGAAACTGATCAAGAAACTGATGAGAAACTGAACAAGAAAGCTAACAAGAAGCTGATGAGAAACTGAACAAGAAAGCTAACAAGAAACTGATGAGAAACTGAACAAGAAAGCTAACAAGAAACAACTCGATTTACGGTATAGAACACCTTCTAGAGCTATTCTATTACTTATTTTAGAAAAAGCAAAATGAAAAACTCCAAAGGGAATCGAACCCACGACCCCGGTGAACGGCCGCTTTGTAAACCTTTGCACTAACCAATAGACCATCGAGCAATCTCGCTGCCTTCTTTGAAAACGCAATACGAAGCCCAGTAATCAAATTTCGTTGTTCTTCGCTTTCTAATCTTTGCTTTCTAAACTTTGCTCCAATCCATCGTAATCCAATCTCTTTTTTTGCCATACCGTAGCCCTAAGAACCTACCGTAATCTACCCTAATACCGTAATACCATAGGCCTAACGTTTTTCGCCTTTTTCAATAATAAGCTCAGAATCCTATTGTCTATACAGTAAATCAAGAAAATTCAAGTAAAAAGCCGGTTTAACTTTAAATTTCAATAGTATTTCTGGGAAAATCTCGAGCAACACCCAATCAACTCTTTCCAAAGCTATCATTGTCAAGCTTTCTGCAGTTTGTTCTCCTGTCGAAGTTCATCAAATCGACGAAGAAATCCCCCGTCTTCCCCTTCATTTAATGTCCCCACCATCATCGGAAAGACTTCGAAGAACCCTTTTCCCGATCCCCGAATCGAGACGTTCCTCCATTGTGCAAGGGCCAGCCCCAGTGGAACCTTTGCTAAAGGTATTGTGTCGAAATGATTGGGTACAGTGTTCAGCTTTTACTTTCACTCTAGAAGTGTCCAGTTTACCAGTTCTATGCCTAGTTTATCGTACAGTTCTATGCCCAGTTTATCGTACATTTCAATGCCCAGTCTACCGTAAAGTTCAATGCCCAGTTTACCGCAAAGTTCAATGCCCAGTTTAGCATACAGTTCAATGCCCAGTTTACCGCAAAGTTCTATGCTCAGTTTACCGTATAGTTCTATGCCCAGTTTACCGTACATTTCAATGCCCAGTTTACCGTATAGTTCTATGCCCAGTTTATCGTAAAGCTCATCAACCTAGTGTTCAAGACAAGTTCATGATTTACGTACACTTTTTCTCTAGTCTCTACCTCTATCTAGAATTAACCATTCTTCATAAAACTTTTTGAATTTTTATAGATTACCGTATTTCCTCTAATAAACGCCCCCCCCCCCTTGACCAACTTTGGACGCTTCGTTCTCAGCTCCATTTGGAGATATTTTTATGTTTAATATATCAAAAGATAGAAGACATTAAGGGCTATCTTTTGATATATTAAACATAAAAATACCTCAAAATGGGGCTGAGAACGAAGCGTCCAAAGTTGGTCAAGGGGGGGGGCGTTTATTAGAGGAAATACGGTAGCTAATTTTGCGTTTCTGAGTAAAGAATTGAAGTTAAAAGTTGAAAATAAGTAAGAATAAGTAAGTAGTAACGAAACTACTAAGTGTATCTTTTGGAAATTCGGCTATAAACCTAATTTTTGATTCTCTACAACTTTTCTATTGATACCAAAAGAATAAGTAAGTAGTAAATTTTAGCAATTTTTATGGGGTAACGGGAAACTCTAGGCGTAGATAGGGAGTAGAGAAAAAAAAGACAAAAATGTGCGTATTTCTTAAAAGCCCTATCCAGTAAACCATATACCGTATTCTCTCTAATAGTAGTGCACTCTCTAATAGTATTGCGGTCCAGGAGGGGGGTTGAAAAAATAGTAGTGCGCACTACTATTAGAGAGAATACGGTAGTTAGAGTGACGAGGTACTAAGTTAAGATTTTGAAGTACTAATTCTTGAATACCCTGTAGAAAATTGCTAAATTGCTAAATTGCTAAATTTTAAAAGGGAAAATTGAAAGTTTTAGATCGAAAAACTGTGCCCAATCATTTTGCGTTTCTTTCATTTTCCAGATTTTTTTTTCTTTGTTGTTTTTTCAATTTTCCATTTGTCAGAAAAAGAAACGAGCTCGTTTACTGAAGAAATTGGATCCACTAAACTCGATGGGATGGCTGAATATCTCACCAAGAAATCGACAATTGCTTGATGCTGTGAAAACCGGTTTGCTTGCTTACTGTAGCTTACTGTAGCTTACTGTAGCTTACTGTAAATGTCTGGATTACGGTAAAGAGTTTGCTTGTTCATTTGGCTTTACAGCAAGCTACAGTAAACCCCCCGGCTTACTGTAGCTTGTTCATTTGGCTTTACAGCAAGCTACAGTAATCTCCCGGCTTACTGTAACTTTCTGTAGCTTTCCTATTTGATGACCCTAAGCCTACTGTGGCTTACTGTAAAGCTAGAACTGTCTGGATTACGGTAATGACCACCGGCTTACGGTAGCTTTCTGTACAATTTGCTGCTTTCTAAATTGTCAATCAAATTACTTTCCCAATTTCATTTTATAGTCAGACAAGCTACCGTAATCCAAGCTCGTTTTCTAAGCATTACCCTAACCTACCGTATCCCTTTATCTATCCTTTTATTTATCCCTTTTCTCTAGATCTACCCACTCTGTTCGACGCTGTCCGAAGGGAATCTTCCGCTTCGGCTGCATCGTCCGTTGTGCTAGTGAGCCCGCAAAATGTGAGCTATGCTTTTGTGCTATGTAGCTTTTAAATGTGAATGCTATTTCTTGGAGAAAGAGTGAAAAAAAAGGAAAAAAGAATCTGCGCAGGCCGGGAATCGATAATCGATTTAATTGATCGAGTCTAATCGTTCTTGAAAACCTACCCTTCTTCATTCAACAAAATAGGCTTCTTTATAGAGCACCTTTTAGAAAACAGCTCTATTTCAAGCCGGAATGGCAGGCCAGGTGTAAAGCCAAAAAAGCAAAACAATTTGCGCAGGCCGGGAATCGAACCCGGGTCGCCCGCGTGGCAGGCGAGCATTCTACCACTGAACCACCTGCGCTCGAGAGGACGTCAGGGAAATGGGCGTTATGAATGGGTGGATTGAAAAAGGAGCGCTTGGAAGCTTGGAAGCTTTCAATGCTTTCAATTTATTGTTTTATCGGTATAAACTTTTTAGCCGATTGGGTTGGCCTGTATGGAAGAATGGGATTCATACATCCGAATGTTAGACGAAAGCAGTCGACCCTTCACGCGGTTAGTTTAAAAATCCAATAGAATTCATGTCAAAATCAAATTTTCTAACTCTTCTTTCCGCGTACTTTGCGCTCTCAGCTAAACGTTGGCTTTCTGGCACACGGAACTCCACATTTTGTTCTAGAAAAATAGGGTTCTAGAAAAATGAGGATTTCCGTGCGCTAGAAAGGTGGCGTTTAGCTGGGAGGGGAAAGTACGCACAAAGAACGAATCTTTTAAGGAAAACGAATCCGCGTACTTTGAGCTCTCAGCTAAACGCCGGCTTTCTGGCACACGGAACTCTTCATGTTCTGGGGTTCTAGAAAAATGAGGATTTCCGTGCGCTAGAAAGGTGGCGTTTAGCTGGGAGCGTACGCACAAAGTACGCACAAAGAACGAATCTTTTAATGAATAATCTAGAGTTTAAATCAATTGAAAATCACTAGAAAATCTATAAAATCTATAAAATCGATGTAAATCTATAATCTGAATGTTTGCATGATATTAATGTCATCCTTTAGATGCCTTTTCGAGTTTCATTTTTGATTATTTTACATTTTAAAAAAAAAACCCTCATTTTTGCTTGTCATTTTGCTAGGAATCAATTGCATGAAAATTCATGTTATATGCAAATTTTTAGGCGAAATTTAGAGATAAAGGTGTACGGTAAAGTCTAGAAAGTCTAAAGTCAACAAAATCTCTATTCTATCTACCGTAGCTTGAATCAAATTCTCATCACTTTCTATAAACCACCGTAAACTATAGATTTTCCAAGTTTTCCCATAGTTTTACCATAGTTTAGGAGGCCCCAAAACCTCGAGAAATCCTCTAGAATCTATTGTTAGCGATTTAAAAGTGCATTTTATTCTATCTACCGTCGCTTGAATCAAATTCGTAGATCAGTTTCTATAAACTACCGTAAACTATAGATTTTCCAAGTTTTCCCATATTTTTACGCCTCCTATACATCCAGAAATCCTCTAGAATCTATTGTTAGCGATTTAAAAGTGCATTTTCGAAAGCATTTTGAAATTTGGCTTTACCGGAATTAGAATAACCTTGTCGAAAATCTGACAAGGGATCGAACTTGAGCAAAAAGATCGATCAATCGTTTTCTATGCAAGCCCTTTATCCACTACACCACGGAGGCGCCTTGGGGATCCTTAAGAAAACTGCCATAAAGCCAGTCAGCTCGAAATTCAGCTCGAAATTCCTCACAAAATTCGACTCAAAATTTTCGCATTTTTCCCCTAAAACTTTAAACACATAACTTTTTATAGAAAACGATTTTGAAAAAACGCAAAACAGATTCGGAATCAGCGTGAAATTCTGCGTCGGATGGGCTTTCAAATCTTAAAACATTTCCCTCAAAGTTACCGCAAATTAAACGCTTTCATTCTCAAAAACACTGTGCCCAATCTACCGTACTTGGCTTTTAAAACGGCTTTAAAACATCTTACCGTAACTTTAACCGATTAGAAAATAGATACATTTACCGTACTCTAAAGCCACCTTTTTTAAATCCCCAAAGACTTTACCGTACTCTGAAGCGATCTTTTTAAAATCCCCAAAGACTTTGCCGTACTCTAAAGCCATCTTTTAAAATCCCCAAAGACTTTACCGTACCCTTCTTCTCATTTTGCAGAAAAGTCGATGGGAACACGATAATCGAAAAACGTCTCTTTCAACTTTTTCAACAACAAAAAGAACTGAAATCGGAAATAATCAACGAAATTGTTCAAATCGATCCACCGGAAACATCAAAAATTCGCATGAAAATCGAGAAATCGAATCTAAAATCACCGCCAAAAGTCAAAATCACATTAGAATGTGAAGAGGTTCAACTCATGCATCCCAATTTCTCAATTGCGAAACCCGAAAAGCTACCCGATGCAGAGTTTACATATAATGAGGTCAGAGTGATCAGTCCTGAGAAAATTCTGGAGTTGGAGACTTTGGAAGAAGAGGAAGAAGAAGAGGAAGAAGAGGAAGAAGAGGAAGAAGAGGAAGAAGAAGAAGAAGAGGATGAAGAAGAAGAAGAGGATGAGCGTGAGAATAGCCTCCATGGGGTAAATGAGGTGAGAGAGGCGATGTGCGATGTGGAGCTGTCGACACCCGATGATCCCACGCCTAGGTACAGCTTTTCAATCACCCCTAAGCGTTTTCTAAAAGGTGCCCGACTACCGTAAACTTCCTAACGTTTTCTCTACCGTCGCCCGAATGTCAGAAATCTTTTAATCGATTTAATTGATCGAGTCTAATCGTTCTTGAAAACCTACCCGTCTTCATTCAACAAAATAGGCTTCTTTATAGAGCACCTTTTAGAAAGCAGCTCTATTTCAAACCAGAATGGCAGGCCAGGTCTAAAGCCAAAAAAGGAAAAAAATTTGCGCAGGCCGGGAATCGAACCCGGGTCGCCCGCGTGGCAGGCGAGCATTCTACCACTGAACCACCTGCGCTTGAGAGAGGGTTAGGGAAATGGGCCTTATGAATGAGGGATTGAAAAAGGAGCGCTTGTTGAGAAGCCTATTGTTGAGAAGCCTAAAATCCAAAACGTTAAAAAACAATGGCCTCAAGATTTGACCATTGTTCAAGCCTAAGTCCCTTAAAGCTGGCCTCAAGATTTGGCCATTGTGCAAGCCTAAGTCCCTTCAAGCTGGCCTCAAGATTTGACCATTGTTCAAGCCTAAGTCCCTTAAAACTGGCCTGGTCTGGTATCTTGTTTGATCGAAAATCCCATCATGTAGATCGCTTGTCGGTTCCCCGATCATCCTCAGTCCCGAGCTTGCCCAAAGCACGAGCTACGAGGAAACCCGTTTGGAGACACCGCCACCAATAGAACCGATTCCGAAGCTATTCACGGTTTCAACAATTCCCGAAGAGGATGAAGATGAAGAAGAACAAGAACAAGAGGAGTTACGAGAGGAAATGAGGAGGTAAATCGAGTGATTCACAATCCGGATGGCTTACAGTACAGTCCCCAGGCCTCATCCTTTCCTGAAATGAAGTGTGCTTATTTGGGAAGCTTTTCTTTGCATGGTTTGGCTTTTTTTTGCATGAAAAATACTAATTTCAAAGATCTTATAGTCATAGTTAGACTTCTATATGGCAGGCTATGGGCCACCAAGCAAATACTATACGGATTATAGTTAGACTTAGGCTTATAGTTATGCTTAGACTTCTATAAGTACTTATAGTTATAATTAAGTAATTTGAAACATTTTCGACCTGATTTACTTTTATCTAAGGCAAATTATGGGCCAGCAAGCAAATAGTATACTATACGACTTAGAGTTAGACTTCTATAAGTACTTTTAGTCTATAGCTAGACTTCTATAAGTACTTTTAATCTATAGCTAGACTTCTATAAGTACTTTTAGTTAAAATTAGACTTCTAGTCTTCTAAACTAACTATAACTTATAGTTAAACTAGAAGAAAAACGCTACCACAGTTCTACGTAACTATTTTTTTACTTGATAACTCCGTAACTACTTTACAAAGTCTAATTGGTAAGTACAAATACAGTAGCAAACAAACTATTGTCTACATTATAATAAATGGTATGCTAAGGTGCCATTTAACAGCTATAAATACGATTTTTGGACTTGATGATACGGTAAATACGGTTACGGTTTTACGGTAAATTTTTGTTTGTACAGTCTCAGCTAAATAAAAATCTCAGAAAATCGAAAATTGTGTCAAGTAAAAGTGTCAAGAGTACTAACAAAATTAACCCTCAAAAAAATAAATGCACTGCCTGGTCAAGCAAAAAAAAAAAGCACTAAACTTTTGCAATCTCGCGTACAAGATTGCCGATTTCAGTGCGCTAGATCGTGAAAGTTTACGAGAATTTCAAGCAAAAACAAAGCAAAAGTTTTCCTTTCGTTTCGCGTTTTTTTCACTTTTTTTTTTTTTTTTTTAATTCTGTCCTGTCAATAGTTTTGTTTCGTTTTCGTTTTTGCTTTTTTCGTTTTTTTTTTTATTTTCTAACACTTTTCTGTTCTGTGTTTTGCTATTTAATAGTTTTTTTTCTTTTTTTTTGGGGGTGGGACAAATGCGACCTTTTTTTGCGCACCTGGACATTTGCGCACCTTTTTTTTTGCTGGAAAAGGCCTTAGGAAAGGCCGTAGAGCTTCGAAAATATTTCCATATAAGGGAATCGTATGCGTAGATTCCGAATTTCGACAAATCAGACCTCGCTGACACGTCAAATTTGGGCTAAAAGGCAAAAACTGCGGAAAAGCGTTAAGTTGCGTAGTTTTTGCCTTTTAACCCAAATTTGACGTGTCAGCGAGGTCTGATTTGTCGAAATTCGGAATCTACGCATACGATTCCCTTCTATGAAAACATTTTTGAAGCTCTACGACCTTTCCTAAGGCCTTTTCCAGCAAAAAAAGGTGCGCAAATGTCCAGGTGCGCAAAAAAAAGGTCGCATTTGTCCCACCCCCTTTTTTTTCACTTTTACTGTCCTGTCGTGTTTTGTCTCGGTTTCTAATCGAATCCCAATTTTTCTAACATGCGAATTTGTCGCTCACAACTGTCGCTGTTATCTGTTTTGTTTTTTTTCAAAAAACAATTAATTTCCTTATGGAAAATCTTTAGTAGAGCTGAATCCTCGTCATCTTCCGAAGGCCCACCCCAATTCGATATCGATTTGGGCGCTTTTGAACTGGTTGACACGGGATTGACAGCCGAAACGATCCTGTCCAACGAGGATCCCGTCATATTTCATAAGGTTTGCAATTTTTGAATCATAAAGTTGAAAAATTTTAGTTGTTTCATTGGAAAGTTGTAGCGAAACACTCACTATTGTTGTTTCGCTAACACTAACACTATCGTTCTTTTGCAAGAATTTCTGCGTTTTGTTTACGACTTTTCAAATCTGGTAGATGTTCTTGGATTCCCAAGAATCAGGACTCCTTGCATCAGCCTTACTTGACCTAGATCTGTTCTAGTCAAATCCATAGCTAAACCTAGAGTTTGTCCAGACATAGACCTTCTTCTGCCTGGCCTGAGCCTGACCTGAGCCTGACCTGAGCCTAGCCTGAGCCTGGCCTGAGCCTGGCCTGAGCCTGGCCTGAGCCTGACCTGAGCCTGACCTGAGCCTAGCCTGAGCCTGGCCTGAGCCTGGCCTGAGCCTGACCTGAGCCTAGCCTGAGCCTGGCCTGAGCCTGGCTTGTGGGTTTTTTTTTGAATAAAGTCCTCAAACTGTCACATATGACAATAGCCGGCAGTTTTCAATTCACCAACCCAATACAATCAAAAACTGCTAACTAAATTTGAATCTTTTGCTACCAAAATGGCTTTTAACGTCTCGTAGTGTTGCCTTAAACGAATAGAATTCAAGTTTTCAGGCAGTTTTCAATTCACCAACCCAATAGAATAAAAATTGGCACTTAGAATTCCCTAGTTCTATATAAAACACAATCTAGATTATCTAAAGATAAAGATTTTATAATTCTTTAAATAAAAAAAAACCCATTTCTTTACCATTCTACAGTTCGTAGCGAAGCGGAATCTCAGAGTGGTAATGTTTTAATTTTTTAAAAGGCGTGATACTTGAAATTTTTCAAATTAGCTTTATACTAGAGTTGATTTTCTTAAGAATGAAAATAAATGTGTTTAGGATATGCCTGTGCATTCAGTGCATCACGATACGGTGCAAACAGAGGCAGCTCTCGAGAATCTCATGGCGGCGCCCGAGCGAATGCTCAGGTTTGTGTGTAGATTGAGAGCTTTGAGAGCGAAATTTGAGCTTTGAGAGCTTTGAGAGCGAAACACACCTCTCTGGTGCACTGAAAATCTTTGAGTTTGCTAGAATGAATGTGTTTTGAAGTGAAAAACAAAACACAGAAATCAACTTGTACCACCATTTCAGCAATGTAATCCCGCCAACAATGGTCGATGACAATTATTGTTTTGTTGTTGATGGGGATAAGGTGAGTCTATTGATCTTTCATAACAGTCTATTGATCTTTCTAAACAGTTTAAATCATTTCCCAACTACCGTAACCCTTAGCTCAGTAGAGGTTAAAGGAATTCAAGTTGCAAGATTGCTTTTTAATCAAGAGATAAAGCCATGGTGATGCTAGAATTATGACAACTCGTTTTCAGAAAAGCAGCTGACAAATGCCTAACTGATTTCAAAACTATCAAGTGTTATATAGAGAATTGTAGCTCTTAAACTTTGCTTTATTTATCTACTAGAAAACAAACAAAGAAAACTCCACAATCCAAGTTATACAACTCATTTTGACAAGTTTTCGAATGAGCTCTAATCGACTTCTGGAGAGTAGTCGATTAGAGCAAATAGCACTTCATTGGAGCACTTCATTGGAGAATGAAGTACTATTATTGATACTTTTCTTTATAGTACTTCTTTATAATACTCTTAGATCTTCTTTATAATACTTCTTTATACGCTTAAATCTTCTTTATAATACTTCTTTATACGCTTAGATCTTCTTTATACGCTTAGATCTTCTTTATAATACTTCTTTATAATACTCTTAGATCTTCTTTATAATACTTCTTTATACGCTTAGATCTTCTTTATAATACTTCTTTATAATACTCTTAGATCTTCTTTATAATACTTCTTTATACTCTTAGATCTTCCATGGTGATGCTAGAATTATGACAACTTGTTTTCAGTAAAGCAACTGACAAATGCCTAACTGATTTCAAAACTATCAAGTGTTATATAGAGAATTGTAGCTCTTAAACTTTGCTTTATTTATCTACTAGAAAACAAACTCCACAATCCAAGTTATACAACTCATTTTGACAAGTTTTCGACAAGACAAGAATGAGCTTTAATCGACTTCTCTCCAATGAAGTCCTATTTTTGATACTTTTCTTTATAATTCACTTTATAATAGATTTCCACTATCGATCAGAGTTTTAATTTTTTTAGAAAAATGACTCTTTTCTCTCAGTAATCTCTTAAATAATATTAATTTAATGTAAAAAAAAAAAGTCCTATCGTAAGCCATCAATTGAAAATTTACATATTACGTTGGAAAGAAAGTTCGTAGAAAAAGTTTGCACGGTGATTTCTCAAAAGCCAAGTCGCCAATTCTTCACAGATTTTCTCGTTTTTAAGAAATTCCAGTCAAAACTTTTTCCGAGAACTTTCTTTCCAACCTAATACATTACGTAAAAATACATTTTTGCATAAACAAAGACCTATTCAATTATCTACAAATATCAAAGATCTAAAGATCTAGACTGGGTTACTTACAGTAGCTGGGGTAGCTGGAAAGTTGAGGTAACTGGGGTAGCTGGAAGTTAAGGTAACTGGGGTAGCTGGAAAGTTAAGGTAGCTGGGGTAGCTGGAAAGTTGAGGTAACTGGGGTAGCTGGAAAGTTAAGGTAACTGGGGTAGCTGGAAAGTTACGGTAGCTGGGGTAGCTGGAAAGTTAAGGTAACTGGGGTAGCTGGAAAGTTAAGGTAGCTGGGGTAGCTGGAAAGTTACGGTAGCTGGGGTAGCTGGAAAGTTACGGTAGCTGGGGTAGCTGGGATAGCTGGAAAGTTAAGGTAACTGGCGCAGGGTTGTTAATAAGGCTTGCTACAGATCATTTACCTTTCGCTTTTCCTTTTAGATTCGTATGGGTGACATTATGGGCGATGACCAATGGTGGAGACACACTTCTAGACCAACAAAATATTTCTACTCGGACGATTTGAAGAAATTTCATCGAGTCAACTGTATCACAGCAAAGGGAAAGGTGGGTGCGGGATCGTCTACTGTAAGCCACAGTGTACAGTAATGCACTGTAGTCAGCAGTTCAAGTAGGCACAGTATTTTGTACAGTATTTGCACTCGAAAATGGAAAGGATTCGATTTTTTTTTGCCGCGGAAAGGCTCGTACGTCGAATCTTCTTGTGATTAGATTACAGAAAAAAATCCTCATTCTTTTAGGTAATCTCAGCCGTTCTTGCTTCGGGTAGCATGTCTTTGGATCGAGCAATTCAAAGTCCATCCATTTCATCGACTCCCCGCTCGTCAATGAGCGGCGCCAGCTCACGCACAACCGGACACTCGCGAGCTGATCAGGTACCCAAGAAAAAAAAAAAGAGAAATTCAACCTTATAACCTTTACAAATGTTTCCCCTAAGATCACTCTTTTGTATTAGTTTTATTTTCGACTTTTTACTTTTTAAACCATTGAAACCTTGTCTGAAAATTAGCTCTTCCGTCGTCGGTACTCGATGTCCGCTCGTGAAAGAAATAAGGTTTGAAAAGAGGGCTTTCAACAAACAAAAATCCAATGCATGAGGTTGAAACGATACTAATATCTATGCAAATCTTATATGGAGAATGGTTACGTTAGATTTTGAGTCAAGAAAAAGAGGCAAAGAGCTAAAGAGGACTTTTTCTCACCTTTTAAACAAAAGGAAACGTTTTGCGTAAGTAAAGTACTCTTCTAGTACTCTCCAGTACTCTCCAGTACTCACCAGTACTCTCCAGTACTCTCCAGTACTCTTCTAGTACTCTCTAGTACTCTCTAGTACTCTCTAGTACTCTCTAGTACTCTCTAGTACTCTCTAGTACTCTTCTAGTACTCTTCTAGTCCTCTCTAGTCCTCTTCTAGTACTCTTCTAGTACTCTTCCAGTACTCTTCTAGTACTCTTCTAGTACTCTTCTAGTACTCTCTAGTACTCTTCTAGTACTCTCTAGTACTCTCTAGTACTCTCTAGTACTCTACTAGTACTCTCTAGCACTCTACTAGTACTCTCTAGTACTCTCTAGTACTCTCTAGTACTCTTCTAGTACTCTTTACTAGTTTCTATCATTACAATCCTTTCCACAGTTACTAATCATTTATGATTCTAAAACGCATCCATTCTACCATAAATCTCCGCTCATATTCCCCTTTAAAAAGCATGGATTTTGCTGTGAAACTAAACGCTTTAAACCCTGTGCTCTCTTGAAAACTATTATTAGATAATTTCGCTATGATTTCTTTATAATTTCATTTATAATTTCATTAATCAAATCAGTCGATCGAGGTGCAAAAAGTGGCAATGGTAAGGAGTGTTATTTTCTCGAAAACCCTAAAACTTTCTTTTCTTCAAAATTCTTTTCGTTTGGCTTTTTTTATCAAAAAAAAATCGCAGAGTGAATTTTGAACAAATTTTTCTTTATTCTTTATTTTTAAAGTTTTTTTTTTTAGGTGGCTACTGAACACGTTTACAAAGTGATTCGGTTTTACTCCTTTTGGAAAACTTGTACATCTTTTCATCGAATAGTCACAATGATTGATAAGGTTTGTTTTCGACTATTTTGTGATAACATTTAGAAGTGAGAAGTAAAGCAGAGAAGCTGATCTGATTAAAAGCTGGTTAAAGTCTGATTAAAGCAAAGTTTAGGTTTAAATTCAACTAATTTGACTTTGATTTTGCTAGTAGAATTGGGGCAATGATGGGCTTCGATCGTCTGGAGATAAGCTCTGAAAGCTGAGCGCTAGGCTGAGCTTAGGCTTAGGCTTAGGCTTAGGCTTAGGCTTGGACTTAGTACGAAGGCTAGCGGCTAGCGCCTAGCACTAAGTCTATTTGGGTTTGGGCTGAACCCCCATTTTCTGGATCTCAGACAGTTCTCGGAGCTAAGCCCGCTTGGCGATGCTCATCCCCCCCATAGGCAAAAATCCTGGCAAATTTTCAGGTAGTTGACGTGTCTGGAAGTTGAGATTTAGGCTTAGGCTTAGGTTTAGGCTTAGGCTTAGGCTTAGGTTTAGGCTGAGCCGGCCAGCGCTAGACTTAGCCAAATCCAATCCAAGCCAATCTAGCGAGACTTTCTGAACAGAAACAAGAAAGCAGTAAACGAGCTAAACTATCAACGAGCTAGAGTAGCCTGCTAGCTACTCTAGCTCGTTTATAGTTTAGCTTCTTCTCTGTTTTCTTATGGCTCGGATTTAACCCAGAAGTTACACCAATCCAGATTTGATTCTGATTCGGCAAAGCCATAATGAATTCACCATACTGTTCAGAATTTTATTCTAGCTTAAAAACAAAAAAAAAACCCAGCGCTGTGATGAAAAAGATTTGATTGGAAATATCAAGAATTTGGGGGTAATAACTTAGAAATGCACTAAAACTGCATAAATGACGATCTGCCAAACTATAAACGCTTCTATTTTTCTTCAAATCTATCAGATCGATATGATCTATAACTCAAAAAATAGAGAATTTCAAGAGCTTTCGATTTCACTAAAGCACATCAAAAAATATCAATTTTAAAGAAAGTTACAGTTTTTTAAAGTCTCTGACTACGCGCGAGTACGGTTTGTTTCGAGTCAAGACTTTAAACAACTGTAACTTTCTTTTAAAATTGATATTTTTGATTTGCTTTAGTCCATTCGAAAGCTCTTGAAATTCTCTATTTTTTTGAGTTATAGCTCATATGAATCCGGTAGATTTGAAGAAAAAAAATAGAAGCGTTTGAAGTGTAAGTTGTAGTTTCTAGTGGCCTGACATTGACTCAAGATCTTCTGCTACTGGATAATCGAACGTGAATTTGTTAAATAGTAAGATATAAGGCTCTTTCCTGGCAATGGGACACGTGTTGGTGTAGCTGTAAAGCGTTCGTCTGGTAGGCGAGCGTGTCCTTCAAGAGGTGGCGGGATCGAACCCCGGTGCCGATCAGCTCCAAAAAAAGAATCGACTTACGCTACTATCACTATTTATTAGTAAATCTATTAGGTGCAAGCTGAAGGCGCTTCGCATCCCGAGTTCAAGAAGCGACTCTTTGTGCAATATTTGTGGCGAAATGCGAAAGCCGTTGATAAGGCGAGAGTTCAACGAGAATTCGACCCACGAAGGCAACGATTACTTCGTTTTGTCACCGATCCACAACAAAAGAGACAAATAATCAATCAGTGAAAGAGAGAAGCTATCAAGAAAAGAAACTAGGATATTAAGAAAGCTATTCAGCTTGGGGATTTCTTGCAAACGTCAACCACTTGGTACACTGGATTTTTATAAATTGGTGTACTTTGAGCTCTCTCTCAAGCCACCTAGTGCACTAAATTTTGCAAAAAACGGTAGACTTTGAGTTTTCGTGACTTCTGGCACATGAAAATTTAGAACTTTCGACGTACTTTGTGCTCTTTTGCAAACGCAAGGCATCTAGTGTACACTGAATTTGGTGTACTTTGAGCTTTTCTTGAACGCTAACCATCTGGGGCACGTTTGGCAACTGGTGCATTTGGCGCAAATTTTCGTGTACTTTGAGCTCTCCTCAAACTTTAGACATCTGACGCACTGGGACTAGGTATGATTGACGGGGTGTACTTTGTGTTCCCGCATAAACGACACGAATCTAGCACATAAGACTGTGCGTTCATTTTCGTGTACTCTGAGCTCTTCTCAAACTTTAGACATCTGACGCACTGGGACTAGGTGTGATTGACGGGGTGTACTTTGTGTTCCCGCATAAACGACACGAATCTAGCACATAAGACTGTGCGTTCATTTTCGTGTACTTTGAGCTTTTCCCTAAACGCTAACCATCTGGCGTGCGAATTCCTTGCAAAAATCCCCTTGCTTGAATATCTTTAAAGAAATTTTTAAAGAAATTTTTAAAGAAATTTAAAAAGAAATTTTTTTTAAAATTTCCCTCGACAAATGAGCATATCTTTTCCCCCATTTAGCTTCCCTATTTTGTGCTTTCAATCTACCGTAATCCTTATTTTCAATGCAAATTTACATATGAGCCGATTATCTAGGCGATTTTTATATGCAAATTTTCATTGTTTTTTTTATTTTTTATTTTTTTACTCAGGGAATTTTTTCGGTGACACATTTTTTTTCTCATTTTTTTTTTCACACACACGCCATTGCATTCTCTCGATTTTGTGATATATGCTAATTTTTCATTTTTCTTCTTTTTTTTTTGATTTTTTGAAATTTCTAATCTTCGAGCTTTTCGAGTTCATTGTTTTAAAATGAAAAAAAAAAGATACAAATAAGAATAAAGTTTTATATCATTTAGAGAAAAAAATATAAAAATAGAAACCCTCTTTTAACGAGGGTTACGGCAGCTAAAAGTATCCTTTTCTTAAACGTTTTCTTTTCTTTTCAACTTCCTCCGATTGGCTACCGTAATTTTGTCGCTATTTTTTGGATCGAATTTTGTGAGGATTGAAAAAGAATATCGAAAGGTATAAAAAGTGGATAGATTAGATAAAAATAGAGGAAAGAGAAAGAGAAAGGAGCGTGTTTTAGAAAATGGAAGCTATTAGAGCTACCAGAGCTTCCAGGGCTCCCAGAGCTTCCAGGGCTCCCAGAGCCTCCAGAGCTTCCAAAGCTTCCAGAGCTACCAGAGCTCTCAGAGCTTCCAGAGCTACCAGAGCTCTCAGAGCTTCCAAAGCTTCCAGAGCTTCCAGAGCTTCCAGAGCTTCCAGAGCTACTGTACTTTGGTGAAATTCTAGCTGATATTCTAGTTGAGATTTATTGTGTGTGTGGGTTTCGATAGAAAAATCAGTCTTCAAAAACATTTGACCAGGCAGTGCATTGAAGAGTTCGACAGTGAAGGTGGGCTGAGTTCGACTAGTTAAAAATATCACCATTTACCGTACACTTACATTAGAGAATGTGCTACAGACGAAAAAATCTGTAGCTTCTTTTTTCCCATTGACAATTCAAGGTTTTTCGTGTTTTTCTCAGCACCAAACCTTCGAATTTCACTATTTTAATTATTATTCGATGTAGAATAAAATTGCGCGTCGAATGATACCAAAATCAACTCAAAATGTAATATCCACGTAAAGCTGTTGGCTAAAAACCTAAATCCCGCCCATAATAGGCAGAGCTGATTCTTTTGCCTCATAACTTTGCGTAGATATGATATTTTGAGTTGATTTTGGTATCATTCGACGCGCGATTTTATTCTGCATCGAATGGTGATTAAAATATTGAAACTCAAATGGTTGGTGCTGAGAAAAACACGAAAAACCGTAAATTGCCGTTGGCAAAAGGTTAAGTCCCGCCCATAATGGGAGGTTTAGGTTTTTAGCCAACAGCTTTACGTGGATATTACATTTTGAGTTGATTTTGGTATCATTCGACGCGCAATTTTATTCTGCATCGAATGGTAATTAAAATAGTGAAACTCAAATGGTTGGTGCTGAGAAAAACACGAAAAACCTTGAATTGTCAATGGGAAAAAAGAAGCGACAGATTTTTTTTGTTACAAGTCTACTAGAGACCTTGAAAAATTGAAAATTTCGTTTTAAAACTTTTAAATGTTCCAAAATTCAGCCGTGTTGAAGAGATCACTGATTCGTCGACGTCCGAGCTGCCGACAAGAACAAATTCAATGTCAAGTACGAAAAACATCAAATTTTCTTTTCTAAAATCTAAACTCTTTCATATTTTAGCAATTGAAGAGGAAGAAGAACTCGTTTTTCATATAAATGGAGACAATCTTGAACCGATCCCCGTTTTCACGAAAGATCAACCGCCAATGGATGGAGCGGCTACATTAGAGAACACGCTCACTTGTCCGGTTAAATATTTGTGCAAGGTGAGCCTATAAATCAGTTTAATTCAACAAATTCAACTTTCAGATCAATCCGACAATGGTTGTTGACAATTTTTGTTTCATTCTTGATGGAGATGCTGTGCCGGTAGAGCCGATTGTCGCCGATCACACGTTCGTTTTCAGATTTCACTGATTTTAAGATCAAAAATTGAGCAAAACTTGTTTTTAATAGTTAAGATAAAGCTGAATTTCTATTGTGATACGATTAGCGTGCTTACCGGCACTGATTTCTCCAGTTACTTAGAGTTAGAGCTTTAAAATGGTGTTCACAAGGAATCGGTTGGAGTTCTCGATATGTGTTAGAGCACATATCGAGCTCTTGTAGAGCTTGAAAAGACGAGTCGAATGATATAAAAATTAGCTACTTTTGAGTATTGTAAACACACTAAAACTGGTTTACAAGTTTTTACAAGCCCTTTTAAAGATTTGAGGGGCGTTTTAGTCTTAGTGAGTTTTTAAAGACGGGCCAGAGGTCGCTTGGCGGTCTAGTGGTTAGTGCAATGGTTTATCGAATTCAATTCAGATTCTGGAAGCAAACCAGCTCGTCTTCACGCTTTTTTTTCTCCGAGACACTGCGCACTTATCATCAGGTGATCATAAAATAGATCTTGAGCATAAAATGATTGTCAATAATTTCGTCAATTACTGTCAATAGTTTTGCTTATTTTTAGGTGACCCTTCTTTCATGGAAAGGCTCAGCAAAAGGAGCGTATCGACGAAAGAAAATTAAAGGCGGTGGTTTGATGAGAGTCGATTTGGAGAGAGTATTCAAAGTGACCAGGTTGGGGGATGTGAAAGTCGAATCTTTCAATCGAATCGTCGAATATAAAAAGCTTAGGGTCTGATTGTGAGTACTGTGACCTAGAAGGGTTTTTCTTCAGCAGCATCGTTCAGAAAGCCAAAAGCCATGGCTTTGGCTTGTCTTTGAGCTGAATTTTTTGGAATTTCTCTAGTTCATACTGTACTATGGGCGGTATATAGTTTAAAATGCTAAGGCGTAAGCAAAGAACAGTAATAGAACAAATTTTCGTGTGCTTTGAGCTCTCCTCAAACTTTAGACGCCTGGCGCACGTTTTGTGTACTTTGTGTTCCCGCATAAACGACACGAGTCTGGCGCATAAGACTGCGCGTTCATTTTCGTGTACTTTGAGCTCTCCTCAAACTTTAGACGCCTGGCGCACGTTTTGTGTACTTTGTGTTCCCGCATAAACGACACGAGTCTGGCGCATAAGACTGCGCGTTCATTTTCGTGTACTTTGAGCTCTCCTCAAACTTTAGACGCCTGGCGCACGTTTTGTGTACTTTGTGTTCCCGCATAAACGACACGAGTCTGGCGCATAAGACTGCGCGTTCATTTTCGTGTACTTTGAGCTCTCCTCAAAAATTTAGACGTCTAGCACACTGAACTAGGTGTGATTGATGGGGTGTACCTTGTGTTCCCGCATAATCGAGCTGATTTCTGATCTCTTTGCAACTCTTTGCAACTCTTTTCAACTCTTTTCAGACACTTCAGCTATTGGCGTAGTTGCAAGGGTTTTCATCGAATCATCAGCGTTGTTGTGCCGTTGAATAAAGGTTTTTTAAAAAATATTCAATCAATACTTACTTTTGATTTGAAAAAAATTCCCAATCAAAGCTTTTCCAGAAGGCGAACAATGGTGCGGCTTTCAATCACGCGTTTTTGTGCAATACTTTTGGAGGAGTGATAAGGTTATTCAAAAACAATATTACAGTCTCAAAAGAAGAACAAAAGAAGAACAAAAGAATAATAAAAGAACAATAAAAGAAGAATAAAAGAAGAATAAAAGAAGAATAAAAGAGGAATAAAAGAGGAATAAAAGAGGAATAAAAGAAGAATAAAAGAAGAATAAAAGAAGAATAAAAGAAGAATAAAAGAAGAATAAAAGAAGAATAAAAGAAGAATAAAAGAACAATAAAAGAACAATAAAAGAACAATAAAAGAACAATAAAAGAACAATAAAAGAACAATATTACAGTAATTCTTAAATTATTTCTAGAAAAGTGATAAGGATCGAGTGCTGAAAGAGTACCTTTCACATTATGGTCGACGGGAAACGGGAATTGGAGGATCGATGAGTCCGAATGGGATCACGAGTGCAGAGAATAGTGCTGGGTAAGTGCAAAAAAAGCCTTTGTTTGATTGTGGCTTAGGCTTAGGCTTAGGGCTTTCAAATCATTTTTTAACATGCTCTACATTACTCAACAATGAACTAAAAACAATGAACAATGGGTGGGGGTTTGGTCTTTTTTGGAGGAATTACGCCTTTCCGTTGTGATATTCGTGATCAGCACACGAAAGTGCCTAGGAAAACGAATTTCCAGGTACCTCCCCCACGCGTCCCCACCCATCTCCCGCACGGGCCCGAGAGGCGGCCCGGGCGATCCCTTTCACACATTTTAAAACTTTGTCATAATAATGAGAGTTGTTTAACTAATCGAGATGCCTAGGCTTCTGCAAAAAAAAAAAACTTACTGCCGGGGGAGGGCGGTGCGGTGGCTTTTGCACTCTACCAAGAACTGGGTTTCGACTGGCCTTTAGATTTCTGAACAGACTTGTTTATTGCTTAAACTTACGGTAGAGAAATCCCGACAATCTTTTTCTATCTTCCTTTCTATTTGACACTAGATTAACCGATAATGAGCCTAGTTCTAATGTAGATTGGCTCTCAGGCTTCAAAAGTCTCAAGCTTCAAAAGTCTCAAGCTTCAAAAAAGAAAACGATAACTCTTGGTGTACTTTATGCTCAAAACGCACCTCTTCTAATGCACTAGATTTCTCAATTACAAAGCTAATTGTTCAATAAAAATCGAAAAAAGCGTTCCAGTCCATCCGTCAATCAATCCGCTCGCAATTCGGTCCAATTACCCCGACCCAGCAACTTCACGTCAATGTCAAAACGATCAACAAGTACCATTTTAAAATTTAAATCGAGATTTTTCTTATCGTCAATACTGTTATAGTATAGTACAGTCGCGTAGTCGCAAAAGTTACGCGTAGTCGTAGTCGCAGTGACGCGTAGTCGCAAAAGTACTCGTACTTTCAAAAAAACATTTGATTTGATTTTTGATTTGATATTTTGATATCGATTTGATTTAATTTGATAATTTGATATCAAAAGATTTACTCGTACTCGTACTCATACTCGTACTCATAACGTACTGTAATAGTACCCCACCGCCCATAATGACGGTGCGGAGTGTTGCGTAGTCTAGCTTTGAACGAGTTTTTCTCGACACTGGTTTATGCTACAATGTTCGTTTAGGTATCAAAAAATAGCTGAAATTCAGGGCTATTTTTTGATACCTAATCGCACATTATAGCTTAAACGAGTGTCGAGAAAAACTCGTTTAAAGCTAGACTACACAACACTCCGCACATTATTGAGCTTCTATTACAGTATTTCAATCATTTCATATCATTGATATCATTTTTTTTTTCAGTTGTCCGTCCCACTTTCCATCCAGAAACCCCAGCGGATTTGTCGAAAAAACGAAAAACTTTAGCTCATCTTTAAAATTTTTTTTTTTTGGAAAATTATGGTTCAAACGATTTCACGGGTAAATAAATTTAAATAAAAATAAACAGAAAAGAAAAAAAGAATTCAGTGCGCTAGAAAGGATAGATTTCTACGCTAATAAGAGCACAAAGTACACTCAAAAGAACAACTTTGAAAGCTATTTCCTTGTTAGAGAAACAAATTTTCTCTTTTTGCTTTCGAAAACGTGCAAACGCACCCCGTCTAGCGCACTCATTTCTTCATCTTTCTTGTCTCGTCGACTCGCAGGAAAATGAAGAAAGCGTTTGTGTTGCGAGAAGGGTTTCGTTTGCGCAAATTCCACAAAGTACACGTTCTTTTCCCATGTTTTCCATGAATCATCCCGAGGTTTTTCTTTTTTCGATCCATCTCGAAACCGATGTGAATAAATCATTCCAAAATGTGTTTATCTCGACGTCGAAAAAGCTAGTAATTATCGCCAAAAAAAAAAAACCCTAAACTTGTTGACTCTTGCAAAAGATTTCAAAAAATTTTTCTCAAAGTTCTCTAAAAATTTCTGAAAACTTAAAATATTTGATTTATATCTATTTCTTATGACCTCAGAAAATTGCTGAATTTCCGTTGTACACCTATAGACGAAGGGAATGAAAATAGAGATGTCAAAATTTGATGTTTCTCGTACTTGACATTGAATTTGTTCTTGTCGGCAGCTCGGACGTCGACGAATCAATTTTGCTCAGAAAATGGAAAGGTTTTTGCAAAAAAAATCAAAAGGAAGAGGAGGAACTGAAAAAAGCGAAAGATGCGCAGCACTGATCCTGTTCAATCTCTGATTCTCGGTCAGGGTATGGTTTATTCAGCTCCTCAATTTCAATGTAAACTCAAGGGCTTTTAGATGTCTGACTACCGTTTATTGGTCAACCTTTAAGTGCTCTTCTAATTTGTAGGAAGCCGGTTGTCGTTCGGAAGTAGTACCAGAAGATCAGCACCTTTTGACATCACAGCTTTTAACAGCACCTTACCTCGGATCTGCCACGTTTCTCGTCTTCGGGAGAATAATCACCAGATCACTTTTGCAATGGTTCAGAAGATAAGCCTTGCTTTCGTTGTTTCCATTCAACTCCACAAACCATCTCACAGTTGGTTTTGGCCTTCATTGTGGTCTGGTTAAAGTTCCGGATTCTCCACTCGGCTGTCAAATTGAAATTGATTTCTTTCTCATTTCAACATAAAATTTATCGCATAAAAGAATAATTTCAATAAAAAAAGAATAAAACTTTCAAATTCACAAAGATAAATGATTTGAAAATGAAAAAGAAATGAAAAAGAAAAGACAGAAAATGAAAGTTTGCATTGTGGTCCGGCTAAAGTTTCGGATTCTCCACTCGGCTCTCAAATGGAAATACCGTATTTACTCTATTAGTGGGGTCCTCTCTAATAGTGGGGTCCTCTCTAATAGTGGGGTCCTCTCTAATAGTGGGGTCCTCTAATAGTGGGGTCGTCTGGAGGGGGGTTGAAAAAATAGTGGGGTCCTCTCTAATATTGGTAACGAAAGTGATACATCAATTGTTGATCTCTTGGATTAGTTCTTTTACTGTTTGTTAATGTTTTGTTACGGTTAAAGCTAAATAAAATATGAAGCCAAACTTGTTTTTTCAAGAATTTCGGAGAAAAATTGATATCTTTTCAACTTAAAACTTTGGTTTTATGTTCTTTTAAATTTCTCTAATAGTGGGGTCGTCTGGAAGGGGATTGAAAAAATAGTGGGGGACCCCACTAATAGAGTAAATACGGTAGATTTCTTTCTCATTTCAACATAAAATTTATTGCGTAAAACAATAATTTCAATAAAAAAGGAATAAAAAATAAAAAAAAGAACAAAACTTTCAAATTCACAAACATAAATGATTTGAAAATGAAAAAGAAACGACGACGCGGCGCACAACGGCGCGAAATAAGGCTAAAAAATATTTTTCTAGTCAAAATTCAAGTTTGACACACCATTCAACGTGAAAAATTGCGCTGATTCCGAATCTGAAACTTTTTTTTAAAATCGGTTCGACAGTTTTTCTTAAAAATGAGATTTACCCAAAGATCCCATTATGGGTTTTCTAAAAAGCACTCGAAAAACACGTATTTCAGGATGGATCAAAAATGCCCGGCGAATTTTGAAAGATATTTTCTTTCTGGTCATTTGAAGACCAAAAACGTCAAAAACCATTGATTTTGAGGTCAGATAAATCGTTTTTAAAATCACAATGGATAACCTACCGTAACCCGCGCAAAATAGCTTAAGGGTCGAATTCTAAAATGCAACCAAAATCAAAATTTGCGTTCGAATTTTTTAAAAACTTATTTTTTGCTTTTTTTAACTTTTTTTTAACGTTAATTGGAATGCCACGTTGGAATGACAGAAATTCAAATTTAACATCAAAAAACATCTCGAAAAACACTTTTTTTTCTATTCTATACCAGGAAGTTTTGCCAGGAAGCGAGTGATTACGTAGCCGCACAAAGAACACCTCGCCAGTCACTTTATAGAGGCTTTTTTTTCCTTTATAATACAAATATACAAGATACAAAAAGATATTGAGCAAAGATAAAGGTAAAGAAGATATTGAGCTGTGAATTTGTAGCCGATGGTTTTCAAAGTCGGCCAAGGTCAAAGGTGTTTCTTTTCGAATTTGTAGAGAGCGAAAATGATCGACTGAATCGTTTTTTACCGTTGTTTTTGATTCTGCTATGCTTCAACGTTAAAATGATGCTTGTTGATCGTTTTGACATTGACGGGAAGTTGCTGGGTCGGGGTAATTGGACCGAATTGCGAGCGGATTGATTGACGGATGGACTGGAACGCTTTTTTCGATTTTTATTGAACAATTAGCTTTGTAATTGAGAAATCTAGTGCATTAAAAGAATCTTTTCGAATTTGTAGAGAGCGAAAAAGGGATAAGCAACTGAATCGTCTTTTTACCGTTGTTTTTGATTCTGCTATGCTTCAACTTTTGAAACAATTTTTCCCTGGAATTTGTCGAGAAAAACTGAATCGTTTGGAATGCCACGTTGCGCGACAAATTCATATTTTTATTTTTCTCTACAAATTCCAGCAAAGTCCAGCTGATCAAAAGTTTTCTCCCTGAATGATTTGAAATATTCTTTTTCTTGTTCTTTTGTTCTGAATGTTCTTTTTTTTCTTTTTAAATTATTTTGTAATTGAATAGAGCCAATTCCGCTTTTTGATAAGGCAGAAATTTTGACATTTTTCAACCCAATTACTTCAATTTCAATTCTTTATCGATTACCGTAGTTTTTTTTTCCTCTGACTGTTGTTTATTAGACGCATTCGAGATCCTCGCCAAAATGCCGGGATCACAGTTAGAGTGTCTTCCTTTCGACTAAGTAATTACTTGAGTAAAATTTGAGTAACTTTTGCTTGCTTAATTGACGTTTTTTTTGTCGAATAACTAGTATAATCCTGTTTACGCGTCGAGTAAATTGAATATCGTTACATTTGACGCGAATTTGTCACCAAATCAGTTAAACCGGGAATATCTTTAAAAGGTGTCATATGTAAGTCTTGTAATTTTTTTTGCGCCAATTTTTTTGCAATAATTCTTACTACAGTAATTTTTTCCAAGTTGTAAAAAAAAACGCATTACTCGCGAGGAACACACTTTTTTTTTGGCTCACAGAAAGAAGAACTTTCTTAAGCATGTCTCGAAATAGTTGTTGGAATAAACTTTGATGCTTTGAGGTGATTTCAACAATCCTTTTTCCCTGGAATTTGTAGAGAAAAACTGAATCGTTTGGAATGCCACGTTGCGCGACAAATTCCTATTTTTATTTTTTCTCTACGACCAATTCCTATTTTTATTTTTTCTCTACGACAAATTCCTATTTTTATTTTTTCTCTACGACAAATTCCTATTTTTATTTTTCTTCCAGCAAAGTCCAGCTGGTCAAAAGTTTCCTGAGTCTCCTGAATCGTTTTCTTTTTCTTTTCAAGTCATTTTGTAATTGAATAGAGCCAATTCCGCTTTTTGATAAGGCAGAAATGACATTTTTCAACCCAATTACTTCAATTTCAATTCTTTTTCGATTACCGTAGTTTTTTTTTGCCTCTGACTGTTGTTTATTAGACGATCATCGGGAAATTCTTTTGATGGATTGTGTTTTCGAAAGAAAATGACAGCTTCGGGAATACTTTGGAATTGAATTTTTGAGATTAATAATCTAGGAGGCTTGGAGAATTGGCTCGTTTTTTTTGATTGTGTTTTCTAAAACGTTTCCTGGTTTTAAGCTATCGTAACCTCACTAGTTGCAACGCAAATTTATCAATGATTTTTTGATAAACAATGAAACCGTAATCGTTTAGTTAGTTAAAGTCTAGCGGCTTGTCGATGTTGAAAGGCTGCGTTCAACTCGTGATTCAATTGTTTCAATCGTTCTAAAATTTGTCCAGAAAGCTGTTTTACTCGTTTTTTTGAACCTTGTAACTTAAAATGGTCGTCATTGAGAGCTAGGTCTTCCTAGTTCTAGGCTAAGTCTTCCTAGGTCTAGGCTAGGTCTTCATAGGTCTAGGTTAGGTCTTCCTAGGTCTAGGCTAAGTCTTCCTAGGTCTAGGTTAGGTCTTCCTAGGTCTAGGCTAGGTCTTCATAGGTCTAGGCTAAGTCTTCCTAGGTCTAGGCTAGGTCTTCATAGGTCTAGGCTAAGTCTTCCTAGGTCTAGGCTAGGTCTTCATAGGTCTAGGTTAGGTCTTCCTAGGTCTAGGCTAAGTCTTCCTAGGTCTAGGTTAGGTCTTCCTAGGTCTAGGCTAGGTCTTCATAGGTCTAGGCTAAGTCTTCCTAGGTCTAGGCTAGGTCTTCATAGGTCTAGGTTAGGTCTTCCTAGGTCTAGGCTAAGTCTTCCTAGGTCTAGGTTAGGTCTTCCTAGGTCTAGGCTAAGTCTTCCTAGGTCTAGGCTAGGTCTTCATAGGTCTAGGCTAAGTCTTCCTAGGTCTAGGCTAGGTCTTCATA